ACTCGCGGCCTTTCCAACCCGTACATCTCAGATTTCCCTTCGGATAGCTATGCCGGTATGGCAGCCGTGCCGGATCAGTACCTCAACTCAGCCGTCTACGGTGGTGAAAACATCATGTCATATCCCATGGCCGACCCTTCATTCTCCCCCGACTACTTCCCTGTCTACCCAACAATGCAGGAGGATTTCCCACTTCCACAGCAAACGCCGGCTCTCATGGCCGGCTCACAGATTGACCCCACAATCGGATGGGATGTCGCCACCATGTCCGATATGTCAACGATGCCACATCTAGGCTCCGATAACTGGAGCCTGGACATGCTATCAATGGGCACCAACATCCCCCCGCCAGAGACAACCTGTCCAAGCTACGTCAGCGTCCCTTCCCCAGGTGAACTGAGTGGCCCATCAACACCGGACTTTCTCCCAATGCACCAATTCGACAATCCCTTCCAGATCACCGACGAGCCCAAGAAGACCGGAAAGAACGAAGAAGAACTGGTCGGCATGGGCCTCTACAGCCAGCCCAACGGGACACTGGCACGAGCCCCGCAGAGTAAATCAGGCGAGGGCCTCAAGCTCGAAGAAACATTCACCCCGTCCGACGAAGACAAGGACAGCGAGACGGACGCAGAGGTCGAGATCATTGGACACCGCGAATTGCCACAGCAACCGCCCGCCTACCATGAATACGCGTCTACCATTCGCCAGTCGAACTTTTCTTCCAAGCAGCCCAGACAAGCTCTGAACCTGCTCCAGAGGTCGTTCTTCTTCGACCACGATAATACGGATCAACAGTCGATGACTGCTGTGCAGCCTTTTGTTGGTTTTAATCAGCCCTGCATGAATTATGGGTACGGGTGGATCTAAGGGGATCCTAGCGGAGAAATTTTTTTTTCTTTCTTTTTTTTCGGCATTTCTTTACTGTACCAGCGGCATAGCGTGGAGTCATCTTTCATCATCTTTTTTTTCTCGGAGTCGGATACACGGAAAGGATACCCTGGGACGAGACTTGCACTAGCTACAATTACTTTAGGTGTACTCGTACACAATTCGATACCGAATTCACATCAATATTTGCTACCACTCTTCCTATTTTTAGTCTTGCTTAAAAAGTACTAGTAGTGTTAATCATTGTCATCATTTCAAGTTCTCGAAGTATACAAACTCACCCTCTGATTGGCCGCGGAGAAAATAAACCTCGGCAAAACCATCCCAAAGGAACAACAATTCCCCGAAAATATTTCACAGGCTATCAACGCAAAAAGTCAAGCAAGCTAAAGCTTACGCATCCGGAGTCGAATTTAATTTCTAATTTCTCATTTCGAACCCAGCGCCGAAAATGGCAAAGGCCATTTTCACAGCTTGGAAAACCAAGTCTCAGTTGTTGGAAGTGCGGGATGAGTTTTATCCTCCGTCTGCGTACGCTGGACCGGATTTGCGTTCCCATGGCTGTGCAGTGGTATGTTACATATATGCATAGGCGCCAGAATGAGTGCGATGTCCGCTTTGTATGTGGTTGCTAATGATGTCCGGAATCAAAGGTCGAGGCTTGGAAGCTACGCGGCAATGTACCGCACCATGTTGAAGCTACGGCGTTGTTGACAGATGCTATTCTGCATGATGATGCACAGAGGAATTCCATCTTCTCGATTCGTGCTACGTATTCTGCAGCTTTCTGTCGGTGAGTATTGAGCCGTGCCTGATTCTTGTTTTTACCTTTTATGAGAGAGAAAACCCAGTCCGATTCCCTTGGGATGATGTCTTGAATTCAGACTCCTCTTTCACATACATATATCCCGTTTTCAAATAACTAACGCTCCAACTCAGCTTCGTAACTGGTCTTGTGGATACCAAGATCCACGGCGTTCGCCGAACAATGTTCCAGCGCGCCACTGACCTAGGCCTCCCAGCCTCCTTCGTGGAACTCCGCCATGAAGCAACCCACCGCGAGCCACCGTCGCTCGTCGTACTGCGCAAAGCTGCGCAGCGCTCGCTCGAGTGGCTGTGGGACAATTACTGGGCCGGTGTTGGTGACGACTCCGGTGCGCCTGCATTGACCCATGAAGATGGTGCGTCTGTCAGGGCCGTCTTGTGTGACGCTCTGCAGCCTCTATCCAGCGGATCGGTGGATCCTGTGTCCAAGAAGCGGAAACGGGATCAGGCTATTTCGGTAGCTATGCGGCTTGTCTCGGTTTGTAATGTTTCGGCGACTGGGGTCAGGCATTTGCCTTCTGTTTTGCTTGAGCGGGGTTTCTTGATCCCTAGAGGTCGGGAGTGAGTTTGATCCCCCCCTGTTTTTGCTTTTGTCTCGGCTGTGTGTCTTCAGGGGTGCATATGTTGTCGGGGAGTACATGCTGACTGTGACATTCTAGACTCGGGGATTCGATGAATGATACATTCAAGGAATGGAACCCGGTTCTGCAAAAGGTCGCAGAGATTCATCCTGCGTTCTTGAGACATTTGACGGAAGATCTGGTGAATGATCTAGCCTTTAAAAACACAACCGATATATCGGAAGATGCGCCTTCCGAGGCACTGTATCTGTGGATCGCGCATATCTTGACATCTCCTGCCTGGGAGTTCCACAGGCAATCATGCCCGCAGAGCTATGTTCTCCGAGCCTGCGATGAAAGTCCACACCACTGGACAAATATGTTGGGAGATCAGTTAAGAAAGCAGACTGGCAAGTCCAAGTCAGTTCTTACCGCTAGACCCGCCAAGAATCGGATTTCAAAACCCAAACATGTTAGAAATGACTCGCAATACGCTCCATCCCAGCTCTCGGATAAGCTGCTGGAACATGGATGGGGATTCCTGGAGAAATGGGACAGTCGACCTTTGGGTGTGGTATCGAGTAATTAGACGGGCTTTCTCCAATTCACTCAATGTATACGCTGCTGGCAGCGTTAGAGAACCCCAAAGCCAATATTTCCCGTACAAGATAGCTCACTAGTACGGAGCACGGAGTAACCAATCAAAAGCGGTGGCATTACTAAAGCTGTGAAGCTATATGGGAAAATAGTTCTTCCGGATGACGTTGGTAATCCGAGATCCACCCGGTCATGTATCTCTTTCAAGAGCTCCCCGCACTATTTTGATTCATCGTTGGTGATGAACTTTCTAAGGACACAACTATTTGGAACCAGGTCGCCTCTATTTAGGTCACAAGCCAGAGCCATGCATATCCAATCAATTCCTATGTGTATGTTGATCTTCCGGTCCGTCATATATATTACCAATCAACAGTGGCTACTTGGTAGTAATATTGCAGGAGGAATGATTGCTTATTCTGGATTAATTTTACAGGGACGGGGAAAGGTAACAACTATGCCTACCTCGTGACGGACGAGGCGACCAAGCAGTCGGTCATTATTGATCCCGCCAATCCTCCAGAGTGAGTTGCATCTCTATAACGGGTTGAAACTACATGAGCTGAACTGATTATGTGGAACTACAGGGTTGCGCCAGAGCTCAAGTCTCAAATTGCTTCTGGCAAGATTGACCTGACGGCCATTGTTAATACTCATCAGTATGTGATAGAACTTTCATGGGCTGGTAAAAAGAGGATAAAATCCAGGTTTGCTGACATTTGCTGAAGCCACTGGGATCATGCTGGCGGTAACGATGAAATTGTATGCATGCTTTCTCGGGTCACTGGTTGCTATCTCGGGCTAACATTCGCACCAGTTGAAACAATTCAAGGGCCTTCAAGTCATTGGTGGCAGAGACTGCGCGTTCGTCACCAAGATTCCCGCGCACGGCGAAGAATTCAAGATCGGAGATCGCATCTTAGTGAAGGCATTGCATACTCCCTGTCATACGCAAGACAGCGTCTGCTACTATATGCAAGATGGAGACCAGCGTGTTGTTTTCACGGGCGATACTCTGTTCATTGGCGGTATGTGTATCATTTTCAATAATTTTCTGTCGAGTGTCATGGACTAATTGGAAACCAGGATGTGGTCGGTTCTTTGAAGGAAATGCGAAGGAGATGCACAAGGCCTTGAACGAGACTCTCGCGGCTCTGCCTGATGACACCAAGGTTTATGTAGGGTTGCCTTTTCGTGTTGATACAAGTCTCATACTGATTCCTCCTAGCCCGGTCATGAGTATACAAAGGCCAATGTCAAGTTCTGCATTGCAGTGTCGCAGAGCGAGCCTATCAAGAAGCTCCAGGCATTTGCGGACCAGAACACGCAGACACAAGGGAAATTCACTATCGGCGACGAAAAGGTAAGAGCTGAACCTAAGCGATATTCTAGTCGAGACTGACAAAAATTTAGCTTCACAATGTGTTCATGCGTGTCAATGTAAGTTTCTTATCTTTTGCCCTTGTATAAGCCGTTGCTAATTCAAACAACAGGACCCCGAGATCCAAAAGGCAACTGGCAAGACTGATCCTGTGGAGGTGATGGCAGCATTGAGAGAGATGAAGAATTCGATGTAAAGATGATAGTAAACTAGCGAGAAAATCTACGAGATCATATGTTGCGATATACTTCCGTAGAAAGCGTGAGAATGAGGTATTCCGAGGCAAGCCGGAACTATGCAATCCATGACTACAGACGAAATCTCCACAAATCAGGTCATCAAGAGATTTGTATAACTCCGTAGATACTCCGGAAAATGAGTGGGACTGTATACGTCATAATCGTGCCAAGCTCCCGGTCCCCAAATGTAGACATAACTTTCTTATCTCACGAACGTAGCCAGAGAAGATGCAGGGAGATGTATGCAGTGAAAAATAAGTCGAATTTAGTGATCTCAGTCTTCCTTGAGCTAGTGGATAAAATTTGAGCTTATGTAGATGTAGCTTTTCTATAGACAAGCCATAGAAAAGATACCTCATCCCTGTTTTGTCTGCGGCCCACCAATACCGGGAGGGTGGGGTATACCACCAGCTATCTACCTACTTTCTTTCATGCCACAAACACCCTTGACATGACACAGTGACAAACAGAAAATTCCAGGACTTCTGCAAAACGAACAAGGCAGCTATGGATGATGTAAGTGCTGGTGGATCGGAGTGTTGCAGTGACTGACCAATGCCATCATAGAACGATGGAGGGGCGAGTGATACCGAAGCTCAGAATCATTTGGAGGTAAGCGATTTGACTCCCATCATAGTACCATACTAAGTGCATATCGTCATACAGGTCGTGTTCTATCCGGACTGCAGTCACCGTCGCAAATCCTCCCTTGTTATGATGGACAAGCCGAGGGTCCGATCTCACCCAGCTCAGGATGACCTGACGACCGCCTGCTATGTTCACTCCCTCATTGCGAGCGAATGGACCTCACCACCACACCACCTGAAACATACAGAAGATGCGCAAGATCTGGAAGATATAACACGGACAGTGGACGAGGCTCAACCCGTGACAAATACCAAAGGTTTCGAGCCAGATGACCCGGTCCCGGTGCTCGATACGGACGAGAAAGCGATACCTACAATTCTCGAATCCCGGCATCTTACGAAAAGACAGCTATCAGATATGGCTTGGAATGTGCGAAAGCTATCCAAGAAGCTGGGCAGCATCAAGCTCAGGCTCACCGTGAAAACTGTCTTCGTGGTCAGCAAGGCGAAGGACGAGTCGCTGGTAAGCCTGACTCGAAAGCTTACAAGATGGCTACTTTCCAAGGACCGCGACTCCGCGTACGTGGTTTACGTCGAGCGGCGGCTCGAGACGCATCCGGACTTCGGTGCGTTGCAACTGATAGAAGACGAGCCCTCCGCCGAAGGCCGGCTCAGGTACTGGGACCCTCAGCTCGTGCATGACAAGCCGCATTTGTTTGATTTTGTGATCACGCTCGGTGGGGATGGAACCGTCCTATACACGAGTTGGCTGTTTCAACGCATCGTACCGCCCGTACTCTCCTTTGCGTTGGGCTCACTAGGCTTCATGACCAATTTCGACTTTGCGGATTACCAGAAGAGCCTCAATAATGCTTTCCGGGATGGCGTTTTCGTCAGCCTACGGCTACGGTTCGAGTGCACCATCATGCGCAGCAAAGCGCGACTAAACGACCCACACGGGCCCTCTCTATCAAAACGTGACCTGGTAGAGGAGCTGATCGGGGAGGAAGGGGAGGATACATTGACGCATACCCCAGATCGAGTGCATGAGATTCTCAACGACGTAGTCCTTGACCGGGGACCAAACCCAAGTATGCCTTCTCCTACAGTGCTATGTGTTAGGTTTCACAACAGAAACAGACACAGCTAACCAATCTTTGCTAGCCATGTCTCAAATCGAAATATTTGGTGACGACGAACATTTCACCACCCTGCTTGCTGACGGAATGTGCATTGCTACCCCGACCGGATCGACTGCTTACAACCTCGCCGCTGGTGGCTCTCTTTCGCACCCTGATAACCCTGTCATCCTCGTTACCGCTATCTGCGCCCACACGCTATCATTCCGACCTATTATCCTACCAGATACCATTGTCTTGCGCATGGGTGTGCCGTACGATGCGCGTACGAGCTCATGGGCTGGCTTTGATGGACGAGACAGGTGAGTTTGTTCTATATGCCCTTAGTTTGGCACTTGGGTCTGCATCTGACTGACACACCCCAGGGTTGAGTTACATCCCGGTGACTATCTTACCGTATCAGCCTCGAGATATCCCTTTGCCAATGTCTTACCTCCCGGTGGGCAGGGTGAGGGCTGGGTGCATAGCATCTCCAAGACGTTGAACTGGAATTCTCGACAAAAGCAGAAGAGCTTCAAGTAGCTGAAGAGGAGGACATGCTTCTTTGGCCTGACCCTGGCTCTTTCTTCCTCTTCACCTCTTCTTTTATGAGCGTATTTGGTGCCTGTTTAGTTCGATCACTTGTATTACAGCTGGTGGTTCATTGTTGGGCGTACATGCTTTCTAGTAGAATCTATGAAAAACGATATGACTGGGGTGATGGAGTACTAGTTGTTAGATAATAAGACCAACAAGATTTTTAATTCTTTTAGCTAATAATTAGCTACAATTCCCAGCCATTTGTTTTTTTCTTTTTTTCCAAGTGGACACTTTTTTTTTTCGACTAAGAAGCTGCAGGTCCACTTGGCCCTATAAAAAGGCCATCGCCCGGCCCGAAAATTCTTCTTTCTTCATCTTCCTCAACCACCTCGCTTTCAGAGTCTTAATGCTGGTCTTGAACTGCGATCTTGAGCCCGACACTTTCAGAGTATATGTGAATAGAATAACATATACTCTACTTGACTGACTTGGTAAGTTTGCAACTTCCTTTTTTTCTTCCTGCACTGCATTCCCCCAGCCAACGGCCTTGCGCCGTTCGATGATGAAAATCTTCCTACATTCGCAGTTTCCACGCTAGCCGTCGCTTGAACCCAATCAAGGCGGCATTGAGCGGAATATCTTCCTTGGATGTCTGAGAACTATTTGGCTGTTCTTTTTATGAATTCTTTGCATTTCAACTTTGCAGTCGAGACGGTTGCTAATTGTCTCTCAGAAACAGGATTCCTTCTTGGTCAAATCTTTCTATCATCGACATCATACATCGCTTTGCAGTGTGCAGTCTCTAGCTCTGCAGCTAGTCTCTGGACGCGGAGGTCACTGCTTTGCGCAAATCGGCATAGGATATTTGGAGTGATGTGCTGTGTCGAGTTGAAGTCATAGCAAGAACATTCAGTATATTAGTATCAAATGAATGGCTGTTTCTACAAATATCTCCCAATTCAGATCTTTTTCTAGTATCTCATAGCCAAACCTGTAGTTTCTCAGCCCAGAAGTAAAATCTTGCAAGATTGCACCCGAGAGGGTTGTGCTCCGCCGTACTGTATCCACCTATCGACCCCATACGACCTCAAAACCTCCCATAGATAACTCAACTTCACCAGATCCTCAAGCTCTCAAATCCGTATTCCTCGCCTCTCAATCAAATTGCAACGCCATTCCCATGGCAGCACCACATCGACATGCCACGATGCAATCAATGAGCAATGGCGGCATATCGTCAGGTAGCGACAGACCACAGCAGCACTCACAACTATCACAACAGTCCCCTGGGCTGCGTGTACCTTCGAATCGCAAGACCATCTACGACCGACACCTGAACCGGACTCGTACTGCAGAACTCAGTCGGGCGAGCTTCGCCTTTCTATTCGGGGAGATGGTCACATATGCTCAACGACGAGTAACAGGTATCCAAGATCTGGAGAAACGGTAAGAGACAACCCCCTAATCCAATGCAATCTCCTCCCCAGCCTAAAACAAATATTGCCATGTACTACCCAACACCCCATAGCTAACGACCCCTCTTCCCAGATTAAATGAACAAGGCTACCCCCTCGGTCTCCGCCTCCTTGACCTCCTCTTCTACCGCTCAACCTCAACTTCCTCCTCCGCCCTCTCAAGCTCCTCTACCTCCTCTTCACCCCCAAACCGACCCCTCCGCATCATAACCCTGCTGCACCTGATCCACGGCCCCCTCTGGCGCCTCCTCTTCGGCCGCGCCGCAGATGCCCTCGAGCACTCCGTGTCCCCGGACACTCCCAACGAATACATGATCACCGATAACGACCCAATGGTCAACACATATGTCAGCGCGCCCCGCGATATGAGCATGCTCAACTGCGCTGCCTATGTTGCCGGCATCATCGAGGGTGTCTGTGACGGGTGTGGCTTCGAGACGAAGGTCTCGGCGCATAACCAGCCCACGGAACTGTGGCCTAGTCGGACAGTGTTCTTGGTTCGCTTTGGGGATCCGGTTATGGAGAGGGAGAAGGTGCTTGAGAGGGCGGGTGTCAAATAATTCATGGGCTTGCATTCGGATTACCGGGATATATAGAAGGCTACAGGCTGATCATGTATGCTTGTTAGCATGGTAGATCTACGGCGTTTTGAGATGCTCGAGGGTGGTTATGGCGCTCTTAGTCTGCGGCTCTTTGGTAATGTTTGATTCCGGCACCGGCATTCCCTTCACGAAGTCATGCAAGTACCAGTTTCGACGGTCGATCTGAGGGATTTCTTACCGGTTCTTGAAATCTGCTGTGAAGAACAATCATGTACAAAAGTCCTTCTCGGCCAGAAGATATCATACAATACAATTCCTCCAGGAGAGGACATGTTACATTACGTACATGTACATACATAGAAGGGTATTGGCACATTGGTTGCTCGAAATGAGATGTAGAAGCAGATCCCACCATACACATTGTGATGGACTGGCGCCGTAACTCCAACCTCCAAGCAGGATATCAACATCGTCCGTTCACCAGTCTGAATCATCAAGAACTGTCCACTCGCCGACGTTTCTCCCGATCATCATAGGGCGATGGGCTCCGCTTCCGCCTCTCCCTAGACCGGCTCCGCTCGAACCGACTCGAATCTCTATCATCACGTCGCTCCCGTCGAGGCGAACGCGACCTCGACCTGCGCCGGGGTCTAACAACGCTAGCATTAGCACCCGTCGGCCCGCGATCCCCATCATCACCACCGCGACGATCAGGCATAAACCGCTCATCCGTAACACCCTCAGGGGGCCCATCCCTCCTCCTCCTGTTCTCCAACCCATCCCCAAACCGCCCAGTATCCTCAGACTTGAGATCCTTATAGCGCGTGCGGCCCTTCTTTCCAAGCTTCGTCATGTCGCGCACATGCATGTACTGCGGCAACGTATCACGATTGACATCATCCTCGAAGCGCGCGCCCATAAGCTCCCGCCGATCCAGACCCTCCGCCTCAAGATCCCCACGGAAGAAAGCACCCTTGTGGAAATAGCGCTGCATGAAGCCCGTCTGGCCGCGCGTAGCATCGCGGTCCTCCTTCTGCTTCGCGATGAACTCGCTGTCTTCGCGCTCGCGCTCCTCGGTGGTGAGGTTCCGCCGGCGCTCAATCTCTTCGCGCTCTTTCTCGCTCGCTTCGATCGCTTCCCGGGATCGCTGCACGCGCTTCAGCTCGCGGAGTGTCCACGCCGCGCGCTCAGCTTCCGGGTCCAGGCCGTCCGTGTCGTCAATGGCTTCTTCGTCTTCGGCTTCGACGAGCTCGTCGTCGTCCCAGGCGCGGTTCGCGCTTGAGCGCGCTATCGCTTCCTTCTCCAGTTGATCGCGGATTAATTGGTCTGCTTTTTCTTGGCGTTGTGCGGCGCGTTGGCTTTCGGCTTCTGCTGCTCGTTCTGCGTCTGCTTGTGCTTTCGTCTGGCCGGCTGATAAGGGTGCGGTGTTGCGCTTATCTTTTTTGATGAATGTTGGCCGGATGAGCATGCGGCGAGGTGCTTCGTCTTCGGAACTACTCTCTTCTTCGGAGCTTTCTTCCTCTTCCTCTTCTTCTTCCTCTTCATCGCTCTCCGGGGTAGTTTTGGACACAGTAGGTTTTACATCGTCAGTCGTAGGTTGTGGTACTGCTTTTGGTGCAGGCTTGGGCTGGTCGTCCTCTTCTTCTTCGGTGACGAACCCTTCCTCGTCGTCCTCTTCCTCGGCCTTTTGGGCTGCTACTGCACAGGCTGGAAATGAGCTCGCTTTAGGCGCTTTCGCTCGGCGTAGTGCCTCAGCTCGTCTGCGACGCTCTTGTTCTAGTCGTTCCTCCCGCTCAGCTTCATCATCCTCTTCCTCTTCTTCCTCCTCAGATGAGGGCTCCTCTGCGACAGCCTTTCCAGGACGGTAGCGAGTAGGCTTAACGGGGTTTTTGGTCATTCCCCGGTGGGAAGATGGGAATGGAGGAGGCATTGTGATCTGATCTGATATGTGGAAGGAGGGTGGATGTTGATTATTATTGAGATGTAGAGCCCCGTTTCCTAGCTTGCAATTTAACACCAGAAAATTGCGCCAGGTTTGCTCCGTAATATGGTGTGGAGGTGATTTGTTGAACTGACGTTATCGAGGCCGAAGCTTTTGCTGGATATATGTGACCACGTGATGATATCGAAGAGCTGCAGGAGGGCAGAAGTAGGCATTCACTACATTAACTCGGAGATTGGGTTCTTATATCTGGGTAGTCTTTCTTTCTCTCCGCTCAATCTAGAGCCAAATAACCCATTAAGCCTACGTCCACGTAGTATTTTCAGATATCCATCTCAAAAAGTCCAATTAGCCAGTTTCATACTAATTTAATCACCACGTGACCACGCGTTTCCGCGCCTCGCGTCGATCAGCCTTACTTATTCCCCGCCGTTTTCCAACATCAACCCGGGCAACGAAAAATATCACGCTCAACACTCTCAAATTCGAAGTCTCAACCAGAGTGGAAAGCAGCCAATATTCGAAAATGTCACTCCAAACCCCCCGCATCCTTCCCTCTCACCTCCACGCCTTTCACCCTTCCAGCACTAGCTCGAACACCGTTCGCATACTCGGCACCGTCACCGCGCTGCACGGTAACACGGGGACGCTCACCTGCGGAACCAATGGTGATGTCACGCTGATCTTGAAGTCTGATGCGCGCCTGCAAGTGGGAAAGCTGGTTGAGATTGTGGGGAAGGTGGCTGATCTAGAGGGTGGACAGGTATGTTCCACACTGGCTCCGGAGGGATATACTTAATATCTTTGATTTGGGCTTCTATAGCTATGTAGAGTGGATGCTAATGCTTTGGGTCTTGTAGGGATACGGAATCCGTGTACTGGGCTCGACGGAGTGGGGTGACCCAGCTGATTGCGGTATGTTGTCGAATGCCTCCCTCTGCGAGGTAATTTGGGCTAGAGACTGACTTGTGTGTTTGTCATGAATCTAGATTATAAGATTTACGAGAATGTTGTCAATGCGACACATAAGTTCAAGAGTATCTTCTACGACTAATGGGTCATGAGTTGATGGACTTGAATACATGGCCGTTTTTCTGAGGGGTTTGTCCCGGGTGTGGTATAAGGCTGGAATATACCAAGAGCACAAGCCAGCCTAATTGTTGTGACATTGTCAGTGCCCTCCATTAGAGCCTAGGGAGCAGATATCTGTTTGACCGGGCCCGGGATGTCGATGCTGTCACTGTGATTCTCCCTCTGTGATTCCCCGGCTTTTGCATTTTACGTATGAGATTATGATCAAAGCTTCTCCCAATAAAAATTCTACATTGAGCTTTACTTATAAGAATTGAGGGTGGTTGGAATGTAGTTGGTGCTGTGACTGCCTAGGTGGCTAGCCGTACAAGTCTTCGGCTACGGAGATTTACACCCCTCATGTATTCCGTGGGACTCGTCAAGTGGCAATGAGAGCCACGACTTCAGGAACGTCCACGAGAAAGCCCGGTTTGATGTTTGACGCAGACCTACATGGACCTCATACATATGGTAATGTTATGGTCCCTGTGGTAGGTGAAGCAGCATGTGCTACGGGTCCCTCTGCCTACACTGTCTCATGGTGCTACGGTGAGATGGTGGTCAGAGGGATGAGAGGAGGAAGAGAGAAGAAGAGGAGAAGAGGAGAAAGTGTAGGGGGAGCTCTTTTATATTGTCACATCCCACGTGCCTGCCTAAAATCGACGGCCCTTTGCTCTTGCCATTGTTCCCTCTCGGTTATTGGTTGTCGCAGGTGACTATACGGAACCCTAGGTTACATATAGACACTGGGTTGCTCTTGCCTTCTTTACCTCTCGGGCAGGGTCACTGGATTCAACCGGTGCCTAGGTAAATCATTTTATTAAAGCAATCTACCTACAAGGCAGGGCATGATTATTGTGATTTGATTTGATTTGATTCCGTACTTCGTACTATCATAAGAGCTACATAAAAAGGGTATCCCTGACAAAGACCACCACTTCCACCCACCAGGCACAGCGAATACAGCATCGGAGTCCTGTCAAGATACTCCAGGTCATCAGTTTGAACAAATAAGAAAAGGTCATAAGTCTCAAGGTGCAAGTCAGGAACCGTTGGCTGTATGCAACGAGATCTACCCATAAACCGAACGCCATCGCTAAAAGACAACAAAAAAACAAATAAAAGAATAAAAAAGTAAACATGATCGGGTTGATATGTGGCAAAACATTCATAAAGTTACTCCCGGTCTAAGACAAAGAAGGTGGCTATTGCCCTTCGGTGTCTGCACCAGCGGGCTGGCTCTTGGGTGCGTCGGTGGTAGCGAGAGCATCCGAACTGAAGAACCCCGAGTCGGGAACGATAACATCGTTGAAGTTGAAGGGAAGGAGATCGGGGTTGAAGTTGTCTTTCTCGTTGTGGTGGTCCGAGAATAGAGCGTTGAGCAGCTCGTTGGCAGGAGTTTCGCAAGATCCAGCAGGGGAGGCGTAGTCCGTTGGAAGCCACTCCGCCCAGTTGTCACCAGCGAATTTGGTGTTCTCCAGTTCGAAGAAAGCTTCGGCCTTGGCAGCATCATCGAAAATGTCGAGAACCATGCCATCAAGGGGCTCAAAGGTCTCCGGAAGACTGTCGTTTGCAAGCTGTGGTGCCAAAGGCTGTTGCTTGGCCGGGGACTTCTGTTGCCGTGGAGGTGACTGAGGACTTCCGTGAAGTGATTGGATACGCTGCAGGCGCTCTGCCGACAGTCGCGCTGGAGACATAATGGAGCCTAGATCCTTACGTTTGTTGAGGCTAGGGGAGTTTGCGGGCAAAGACAAACGCTTGTCAATCGCGTTGATCCGCGGGTTCCGTCGACGGGGAGTAGGGCTTGCTGAATCGAATCCGATGGAGGGACTTTCAAATAGATCATCGAGGCCATCACTCGGGGTGGGTGCAAGGTTCTCCTTCTGCTGATTCGGCTTGTCATCCTTTGTGGAGGCAATGCGAGGGCTGCGACGTGGAGAGCAGCTGTTCACCATAGAAGAATCAAGCTCCTTCAAAGGGCCTTCATTCTGAGGATTATTGAAAAGTGACCTTCTCAAAGGCTTGGGGGTGAGACTGTTGGCATCTGTCACTGGAGCAGAGCGGGCGTGCATACGGCTCATTGGGCTAGACTTGATGGCGCGTGACAATACCTCTCTAGCGTCCTCCTTGGACCAACGGCGTCCTGGGGTATCAAACGGCACTTCCAACTCAGGATCAGGACTAATAGATCGAGAAGACTCGTTGGGAGAATAATCTGCCTCACCGTCCTGATCATCGTCGTCGTCATTTTCCATGTGGGGGGTCTCCCCATCGGGATGGATGGAAGACGCTTCAGTAGGTGCTGGGGAGGAAGCGGAAGACTTCTTTGGTGCGGCCTTGCTCCGAGTTCTGGCAGCAGGGCAGGACTTGGCCTGGCCGTCTGCGCGGTTCCTCGAAGGACGCTTTTTGTTGTTCTTTTTGGTGGCCGGCTTCGCTGCCCCTGGCTTGGTCCATTTGTCTTCCGGGCGCATTTGTTTGAATTTGTGGAGCCACAAACCACAAGGATTGCAGAAAGTCATCTGATCCCAATCATTATCGTCCTGCTCGAGAGCCTTTTTGTAAATTTTGAAGCTTTTCACTTCACCCTTGTCGTTTCGGTCCACGGGATCCCAATAGAGCATGGGAGAAGACCTCATCATATCCTCCGCAAGACTCTCTCCGCCATTCACCGTTTTCACCCAGGCTCGCCGCCAGCTGGCGGTTTCGATGGAGCCGCAATTCTCGCAATAGGGCGGAATCAGCCCGTTGAGAATCGCATTGTCCAAGCGTGCCTTTATATTCTTTGGCACCGCCTTAGTCACCTGCTTCGGCATTGACTTTGGCTTCGAGGATTGTTTCGACTGCTTGGGATTAGAACCAGCTGTCTCACACGGCATGAAAGTGACATCCACAGGCCCAGTAGGCCGAGGAGGAACAATGGGGTCACTAGCCGGGATTGCACGAAACATTTGGGGAACTTCGTGGAAGATATGTGGTGCCGGCGCGAGTGGTTTTAGCGCCAAGCGTTGTCCACCAGAACTCGAAGAAGGCCTCGATGCGGGGCGGGACTGAGCGGGGCGAGAAGGGGGAGCACGAGATACCGAACGCGGTGCTTGCTTTGCAATCTGCTCCGTTGAGTTATCATCGACGGGGAGATGATCCTTATTGGTCCCTTGTGCGGCACTGACAATGCTGACTGGAGAGCATGGCTGCACAGTAGAACGGACAGAGCACTTGTCTCGAGTTATCCCACGAGACACTTCCGTTCTAGGATCGCCTAGGGGAATAACCGAGTCATCGTCTATGGTCTCGTCCGGCCCTGCGCTCATGAAGCCGGAGTCGTTCTCCAGAGACATGGTAGGCAACACAGGGCTTGATCTATTTGGTAACCGGCTATCGAACACTGGAGGAGATGATGGAATGTTGGAGGATGGCTCGAAGAGACCTTGGTAACGAGTATCCTCGGGAGAGGGGCCGCCAGCGTCTGTGGTAGGGATGTCATCGCTCATGCAGTACGGAGAACTGTACGAAGCGGGACATGAGGCAATGCTAATGCTCGACGACTCCCGCAACAAGCTAGCCGTGGGTCGGCTTCGGCGGGGGAAATCAGACGGCCGAGATATGGGGGTGGGTGGACGGACGGGCTCTTCGTGTGAATGGTCGACGGTGAGAGCGGGGTTTACAGGAGTTGGGCGGTGGATTCGTACAGAGGCCGCCGTGCTGGCTGCAACTCGAAGCGAACTTGGCTGTCTTTCGATGTTCATACCCGACTTTCCGGGCCAGCTTGCTTGATACACCTTGGCCCTCTTCCGGGCGGGGGCCTCCGTTGATTCCTCATCAGCACTGCCGTACCCTGACTGAATGGACCCTCTTCGGGTGTTGTTTTGTGAGACGTGTGAAAGCTGGGTCTGGTTGTCGCAGTCTCGCATGGAGGCACTTGAGGATGGGCGAATCATATCGCTATGGGGAATGCTCTGCTTGGGGTAGGATTGCTGATGAGCTGGTGTTCGACATCCACCAGGTGTTGACACCCGACTGCCAGCGTATGAGTGTGAAGGCGACACCGAGCGGACCGATCCATTGTGGTGGAATGTAGCGAACTCTCGTGGTGTGGAGCCTTCGCTCAAGAGCTGGTGGAATCTCTCAATCCCAGATTGATGGATCGGGGATCCGATGTTGTCGTTCTGGCTCTGGCTTCTTGAGGATTCCAGGAGGGCGGGGTTTTGGCGAATAAAATTTGTCCATGATTGCGTGTCAAAGTCGCCTGAATTGCCATTGGTCAACTTCCGATGCTTCTGCATGCTGGCTAAGTACTCACTCTGGGTGACAGTTGGGACAGGCACCAGCCGTAGCTTGACCTCCAACGTCTCTTGGGCACCTTTGGAGAAGAGACCACTGAGGGGGCTCTTGCAAACTCGGCCAGTAATTATGGTCTTCGACTGGTTGTTGGGTGTCTCAGTCGCCGATGAGAAGGTGGCCAGCACCCCAGAAAGCATGCCTTGCCCGACAAGAGGGGTTTCGAATTCGGAATAGTCGTAGGCATAGACGGTATAATCCTTTCCTAATTGACCCACAAGCTCCGGGCTGAACGAGGAACTGTGTAAGTATGCCATTTTGGTCATCCGGGGAAGAGGAAGTCAAACCTAGCAGAAACGATTGCCTGGATGCATATTTTTAACTCGATCACTCCAACCGGAGTGTTCTCGTCTAGAAATGCCGTTTGGATGTCAAGCACGTGTGGCCACCGAGCAAGGCAATTAGTTTTATTCTCGTTGTCGAATGTGTAAAGAACTTTCACTGTATGATGACCATGTTTAGCTGCCATTCATCGCCCTCATTATATCGGTAATGGAAAACATACGCCTCATAGGGCGGACATCGATACCGTCCTGAGATTCCATCTCATCAGCCTTTGTCTGTCCACCATGCAAGACGGTGGATCAAATTCTGGGGTTGAAATGAATGGTAGAGGCTGAAGGGTATTCAAGTATGGTCGAAGTAAGAGACTCGAGGTTCGAAGATGTTGACAGGTAGAAAGAGGGGGGAGCGGAGCGAAATTGTCGATCAAAGAAAGAAAGCCCTTTCACTCAGGATCGGGAATGAGTCGGCAATTATTAGCGAGCCAGCCGATCAGCGGTGCATATCTAGGATCTCGTCGACCGGGAGAATGGCAGGTTATGCAGGAGTATGTAGTGGCGGGGTCTTTTTATCTGCAGGCCTGGAATGTTAGCAATTGTGAATCCCCTCGCAGAGGGAACATAGGCATGGAAAAGCAAAAAGCAATTCTTACCAATTAAACAGGGAAAAAAGAGCAATAATCTCTCCACTAGCTCTGCATGAGCAGACAAAAGTGGAAGAGAGACGAGTGAGGAAGGGGTGAGGTTAAGGAGCCTTGCATGCGCGGGTCAAGCTATCACGAAAGATCTCCAAACAAGCGTGACGCGACGTGACTGCGGCCAATCGCGACCTCGGGAAATGGCCGGAAGTTGGTGCCTAAGGCCTGAGGCGCCTAATATTTTCCTCAGGCGCTTGTGAGAAGCTTCACGTGACCTCTGCTCTCCGCCAACCATCAAGATGTCTGAACCTACAGCATCTTCTGAATCGACTGCATCTTCTGCATCTCCTGCATCTCCTGCATCAACCGCACCTTCTGATTCAACTGCATCTCTTGATACCAGCAATCTTTCTGAGCCCACCATGTCGACTGCTCCTGAAGTCCAGATTCAGTATGCTTCCCTATCAATAACTCTTAGCTCCATTCAGAACCAATCATCTAACAAGCCGACTAGGGACCTTCTGAACAAGCCGAGAAGCGAGCTCACGTAAGTCCACTCTTTACAATTGATTTATCCCCTTCCCTTCCTATGCGACCTTTCTCATCCTGAGTTATCAATGGTCTCTTGATCGGGAGTTTCTGATTCTCGAGCTTGTGGGGTTCGCCTACGACGCCCGCGTCTCGGAAACTTTGCGACCGACTTCTTCACATCCTCATGCAAGCTGCGCAAAGTACATACAGCACATAAAACTAACTTTACATCTTGCATTTTAATAGTGAATATGAGGTCTCTCTCGTCGAGTCGCATGAGCTCAGCGCCGGCCCCCTGTCGCTCCTGCTGACCGCCACGCGCACCCACACCCAGGTCCTGATCTCCTGCCGCAACAACCGCAAGCTGCTGGCGCGTGTCAAGGCTTTTGATCGCCACTTCAACATGGTTCTCGAGAACGTCAAGGAGATGTGGACCGAGTACCCCAAGGGTGTCAAGGGCAAGGGCGTGAACAAGGACCGCTTCATCAGCAAGATGTACGTGAACCAACCGTGGACGGATCTTCGTCCCTCTTTGCTATCTTTGAAACAGTTTCTAACCTTATTGCCTTATCTTTAGGTTCCTTCGTGGCGACTCCGTCATCCTGGTCCTGCTCAGCTAAACGCCTAATGCCTCACGTTGACATGATCCCTGCTACTTGCACGGCATCTCGAACCCATGAACATTTTCCATGGGCAAGTTATCATGTAATCGATCTCGATACCCTTTGTTCTTTCTTTTTTCCCTCGCGTGCTTTTCCTCCCTTGCTTCTAGTCCCCGCCAAGACACGATTGGCTAAGGGGATGGACTAAAAAGACCTTTCGGCGTTAAGTTCTTTGCACGGGCTCCTACCCGTTGCTTTTTTTTCAAAGGGAATCCTCGGGCGGCGTCAAATTAGGGCAGAGCTGGTTAGCAATGAATCTTACAGAAAGATCTTATGGATACTACCTTTGTAGATGCTTGTAAGCTAGTAGGTCACCTTCATCCATAGATAGATCTTGCTTTTTGTACTTCCTCGAGCTCGTCAGAGATGTCTCATCCCTTGGACATTATTAAGGGTTGGATTGTTATACCTTATTCTTCGCCATGTACAACTACAAGCACTCAATGTATCAACCAAATAAGAATATCATTATCATCAATGACCATATCTATCAAGAGACAATCATGAACAGAGAGAACTCGGGGCCGGATATGCCGCTATGTATACGAAGAAACCACCTAGAGAACCAAATCCTAAACAGCCTCAGCAAGCCCCGTCAAAAACTGCGACAACCCAAAAGCGCCAGGATCCGGAATCTTCCCAAGCCACTCCTCCTCCCCACCAACATAAACACTCCTCCCAAGACTCGCCTTCATATCCTTCGTAGACTCAGTCCCCTGCCGCGCCGCCTCCGCAGCAACCCTCACATCCCCACTCTCAAGCAACGAATCCACAAACGGCGATAGCGCATCAATAAGCGTCCGATCACCAGGCTTAGCAGGCGTGTATTTCCCCAGTGCCGCAAACGAAGACTTCAGCGCCTTCGCCCACGTCTCCGTCGTGATCGCCGTCGGCGAGGTGGTGTTCTGCGCCAGTAAGCTGTGTGCGAGCGCGTTCAGGAAGATCGCGTAGATCGCGCCGGATGTCCCGTCCATGACATTCTCCACGACGATCACGATCCGCGCGACGGTGCTGACAATGTCGGTGGTTAGTGGTGGGGAGGCGTCGGCGAGGAAGGATTGGATTGCTTCGGCGCCGCGCTTTAGTCCGACGCCGCAGTCGCCGTCGCCGACGATTGTGTCGTACCGTGTTACTTCGGGTTCGGCGTCGATCACACGCTGCAGGCCGGCGCCGAGGATTTTTTGGAGTATGGTTGGATCGACTGAGGTTGTTTGGGTTAGATTTGTGTTAAGATGGTGGGTGTGATGGAAAAGCTTACGCTGTAGGTTGCTGTGGATGTCTTCGGTAAGATTGGAGGTCTTCAGATCCACGGGGGCCGCGTTACGGTTGTTTTCCCACGTAGAGGCACTGATCGGGGCAGACCAGCCGACTGCCTCGGCGGGGGCGTCAAGAAGCTCAAGCATAGTAGTTTTCACGCCCAGGCCTGGGTCGACGAGCTTCATCAGCGAGATGCTGAAGCCGAGGCCGTTCAGACTGGTTAGGAAAGTGCCCTGGATCACGCGGACCATGTTGACCTGGTAGTCGTGCTGGAGCTGGCGGTAGACTTCATCTGTGATACCGGCCAGCTCGAGCGGGCTAACACCGCCGAGATTGTTGATTAGCAGCACGAATTGATCCTCCGGCTTGCGGGTCACGTAGCAGCGGTCTGGGTCGTTGTGGTCGAGTAGCTGTAGAAGCATACCGCGGACTAGCTCGACGAGGTCGAATTTCACGCGGTGCGAGCCCGGCTCGTTGTGGATTCCCATGCCGACTTCAACCTCGCCGTGCGGGATCGTGTCTTCGGGTACACCACGGCCTGGCACGTGGACGTGTTCGAGTGATGATCCTAGTGAGACTAGATTTGCGTTGGCTAGCTGGGCTAGAGCATAGAGGTCGTCTAGGGAGCCACTGATGAAGGTATGTTAGCATTGATTCGATTTCTGTAAAGTATAGCATGTAGACCATGATATGTATAGACTCACCCAGCCTCAGCCAATGCACCAACCATCTTCAAAATCAATACACCACCACCAATACCGCGACGACCAACCTTCCCACCCTTCTCGCGACCAACGCCAACATCATCATTGATAGCAAAGAATTCAGTCTTGATACCAGCAACACGGGACTTCTCCGTGGCCATACCGAAGTTCAGCACATCGCCGGTATAGTTCATAGGAATGATCAGCACGCCATTATCAGTGGGGACACGATCGATAACCGCTCTGCGGATCTGCTCGGCCGACGGCGAGGCAAAGATGGTACCGGCGACCGAGGCATCGCAGAGCCCGTGGCCGACGAAGCCTGCAAATGCGGGTTCATGGCCGGAACCGCCACCCGTCACGATGGAGACCTTGTTTGCTCTGCGGGGCGCATCTGGACGGCGGAATATGATCTTGTGCTGTTGGTCCAGGGCCAGAGATGGGTTTGTGAGTGTAAGCGAGTTAAGCGCAGTGAGAACCAGGTGGTCTGGGTCGGCGAAGAAATGTTTGGCTGGGAAACGGTCAGATATGTGGGGAAGATCTGGGGGATCAGAGGTGGAGCGTACTCTGCATTGCTGATCAAAAGTGGACAGTTTCGATTGGGTATAATTTGAATTGAAGAGCTGACGGAGTTTGAGGTTTTGAGTATTTTAAGAGAGTGGTATAATGTTTCTCGAGTGTAATCCAAGGGGAACTTGTTTGCCACTGGGGTATGAGGCAAGATTCCAAGATTCCAAGATTCTCAAAGCTAACACCAGCGAGAAGCTCTCGGATTGGATTTGAGGATCTTTGATGGGGAAAAAGTGGGTTCGGTCACTGGGATCTTCAAGACTCAGGGTAACTTGTATAGCCAAGTATGTTGTATATATACTGTTGAGACTCACGTTGTACGGAATATAGTCGGAAGTGTGGGAGTACAGGCACTCCCTCCCTCTTTAAGGAACCCGAGCATGTCCATTCATACAATCAAGGACGTGTTCCTTTCTTTTTCCCTTTTTTTTCCAGCTCACATGAACATCCAAGGTCTGATCTGCGCTTCGGCTTACCCTCTAGGGATATCCCGCCAGGCACCGCATTCCAGAAAGGCGTCTTCTGTCGTCCGAATGGGCGTTTTCACCAGAGAACATTCTTGGAATGGACAATTCGATGCATCCAGAGCTGTGCAATGTATTCTAGTCCACTCTCGCCCGAGTGGACTTTCTTGGACCTCAACCTGGTAAGTATGCCGGCATTCCTGGTGCACCGACCACCTCTTACTTGCTTGTATGAGTTATAGATATTGTAGATGTATTCTGGTATAGTTATTGTAGCCTATAGGCTTTGGTCTCGGCTTTGATAGAGAGGTCCCTCTTAATACCTGCAATAGTATCTCAGGCCAATGCCAATGTAAATACAAATTGCCACTAGGACGAATACCGGGATACCGCAAGTCTTAGTGGAGACATCATGAGACTAACGTACAAAAGGGACAGCCGAACTCGGATCTGCTGTCAGATCCAGGACTGTGGGGTATATGTATAGCTCTAGGTCATGGGGTGGTCCTTTGCTCGTTGATCTCGCAGGGTTATGCTTCTCCAATGGGGTTCGTGGATATTAGAAGCATTCGGATACTATACATCCACTATCATTAGTATTCCAACTACCTCGGTGAATATGTGTATAGCACGGATTTCCTCTTTGGTCTACCCCCACAACACGAATTCTTTAATTAAGGGCCATCGGCACTGGCCGAGATCAAGTATTTTAAGTGGCTTGGTGAGACCGGAGTTACTCCGTTTTTCTCCAAAGGTATAATCAATTGCCGGATCCCCCATACTAAATAATAGTCTCCCTAAATAATCAAACATATACCAAACACTCCGTACAAATGTGTGCATTCAGTGAATAAAGTACCTACTCTCAACATGTAAAAGATTATGCCTTATGACACGTAGCTGTATTGATTAGTGCCTTCTTTGCGCTCGAGATACTCCTTCTCGATCAACCTAAAAGTCAAAACAATGTTAGACACAATAACCGGGAACAACGGGTTGTTAGTAAGGAGGATACGCACTTCTCAATCTCTCCCTTAATATCGGCCGGCTGAAGCACACCCCGGGTCTTAGTAGCACTGATAACCTCCGCGATCAGCTCGGCGTGGCTGAGGGTCTTGCGGCCCTTCATAATGCGCACGATGGCAGCTTGCGTCTCGAAATGGCGGTCGGCAGCAACCCGCTCGTGCGTCGTCTTGGTTTCCTCTTTGGTCTCCTTCAGCTGGATCTGGTTGATCTTGATGCGCATTTGCTTGTCGCTGAAATTCGCGTTGTACGAGAATTTATCGCTAGAGTTCACCTCTTTGCCCTTAGGGTCCTTGGATAAGACTCGGTACTTGGCGCATGCGAGAGACTGGAGCGTTCGTTTCAATTCCGGGTCCGCTGTGTGTCATGTTAGGGATTGTTCAACTTTTAGAGCGCTGTGGATCCACTTACACAATCCGGTCGCTTCTTGGATCTGGGGGTACTGCATGCTCTCGCCATTGGGGATATCGTTAAAGAGCAGCAACACAATCGCCTGGAACGAGCTGACTACCAGGTTCTTCTTTCCGAGCGGGAAGTTTGCAGTCAGCTGACAATGCGCCAGTTGATGTTTCCAGGTGAGCTTGCGTCCTGTATGTTTGTTGTGGTAGAACGTCTCGAATCTGCTAATGGAGCGTGCGATCGTCGATGGAATCCGTACGGGTACATCGGGATATGTCGGCCAGGAGGCGGCAGAGAGCACGCTAACTTCGAATTCGAATCGGCTCCTGCGCTCGTCCTGCTGTGACCGTCTGAAGGCCGTCATTTCATCGTTAGCAGTGTCCATATCGTTGAACATGGACTCAAGGTTATGAGTGAAATTTGACCCGCATTCTAACCAAACATTAGCCAAAGCGCATAACATATGGATCTTGGATGCGACAAACCGTTCTTCAAACGAGTTAACATGCTCTTTTCCGCATCGTTGCTCGCGCTTCGTTTCATCAAAAGACGCCGGGCAAGATCGTTCTTGTAAAAGGCTTCAAAGACAGCCTTTCCATGTACGAATCGGAAGAGGTCGAGAACTTGATCAAGCTGTCGGTCAAGCTCTGCATCATCGGACATCAGGCTTACTTCCTCTGGGTTACGGCCTGGTGGCAGCTTGTAACCGCCCTTAAGGAGCCTATCCACGTATTTGGCGATCATTTCACCCGACTTGGGATTGTCGGTACCACCTGTAGAGTCCATCTTCTTCCCGTGGTTCATAAAGGTACCAAAGGCGTCGCGGACCGTGTGGCCCAGTTCCTCATTCGACTCAAAAGAATCGGTGCAAATATCGTCAACCTTTTGCTTAAATTGGAGCAGGTGAATGACCATGTCGGCCTCCAGATCTTGATTAAACACGATGCCCTCACCCTCCTCGATGATGTACTTCCTAAATGCAGGCTTCAATTCGAGACTAAGATCTCGCCGGTCAAGCAAACCGTATAGTTGCTTCAAGGCAGTCTTATTGCCGGCTCGCATCAAGCCAAGCACTTCGTTTTCGTTGGTCAACACGTCCGTTCGCCGTGTCACTAGAGTCTCATCCAGGAGATTGGACAGTTTGAGCTTCGTGCTTCGATTGAAAGAGAAGAGACCACACCGTTCTACCTCACGTTCGATCAACTGGTGGGAATTATCGACGTATGCAGCCAGGGACCCTGCTGCTTGTTGTTGAGACCACTGCTTCACAAACTCCTCGGACTTGGCCATGAATAAAGGCTCAAAGTCACTCCCATACACATCGAGGCTGTGGAAAAGCTCAATAGCATCTCTAAGCAAACTTGAATCTGTCAATGCCTTTGTAAATCCACCTCGATCGGCCTCGATCAAATCATATGCTCCTTTCACAATCTTTGGCTTCAGACTCGCATCAGAGAAGATGTATGACCGGAACTGAATCAATCCCATTTCACGAATCACCGGTTGTTCTTTAGAATGCAAGAGGAACGACTGGTCGAGATAATAGAAGATCCAGCGAATAGTAACCTGGGGGAGAGAGACCGTTAGCTGTGAACCTCCATTCGAGATATTTCCTTGCCACACATACTAGCTTGGAGTGCCAGGCCGACCACGCCTCAATCACTATCCGCAATGTACCGACATCAGTGCTACCTCCAGCTCTGGCGACAAGATTCGTGCGCATTTTCCCGCTGACGAACTCTTTGCACCGATCCTGAAGCTTCTTAGCCAACAAAGCTGCCCGCTCCTGGCGGCAGACATTCTCCCCGCCCTTGTATAGCTCTTCTAGCGAGCTCTCTGGTTTCCTGTCATCAAAAATAGCCGTTAGAGCCGCATCCAACTGCGACCACACTTTATCGAAATACGATTCCTGGTTAAGCCGCGGTCCGGTACGAAGGTTCTTGACGACGAGCTTTTTCGCGCCGCTATGAGGAGAAAATGTGTTTTGGCGGATATTAGTATTCAAGCCATGGGATCTGATGGGACCATTTAACCCAGAGACTCCCCGACCTGGCACGCCATTCTTAGGCGGGGAACCGGAAATCGGATGCATCTTATGCGGGCTCGTTTGGGTTGAGGAGCGTGAGGGAGACGACGACAGACGGGAACGCTTGTGGGTTTGCAGATCAAGGCTGCGGTCGGGTGAATACCTCTGGGAGAGGAGCTCGGATATGGATTGTTGCGATCGCGGCTGCGACGGCTCTCCTTGATCAGAAAGCTTCCTCTTGCCGATTGATTGGCGCTTACCGCTCTGCTCGGTGTCGCCTCTCGAGTTCTGCGGCATCTACCCGGTTCAGCCCGACTGGGAATTTGGGGCACTCTCAACAGGCTGGAGATGATGAACAGGAAGGAAAGTGGATTCGGGATGATGTTGAGGGGAATTGACGTTGCGCTTGGCTTTGGCTCCGCACGGCGATAAGATACGGAGCTATTCCATCAGACATGGACATCATCATCATGGATGAAATCATTTCGGTGTATATATAATGTACTAACGGATATTCAAATAAAGAGCCAGGTATTATTGATAATCTAGGTGTGCGAAATACGATATGGACATCATAACACTCGCCTCAGCCATTCAGGTGTCCGTATAAGAGGCCATAGCTACACGACTACTTATGTACGTATGTATCAAAAGCGCTAATGATCATAAATTCACGCTGAAAAGAAGAGAGAGTTGTATCTAGCGCGGGTTTTTAAAAGAGAGAACAGGCCCAAGGCCCTCGCCAACACTCACTCTCACTACAGCATACTACTACGGAATACGAAGTACGAACAGGGTTAGTCCTCACCGCTTGTTGATCATTGAGCATTCGCCCAAGAGCTGGGCATATATACGGGGTATTATATATATATATATATATCCCTAAGTTTTGAATTCATTCCTCGACTCTAGGAATAAGTCTATGAGAAGTAGATACAATACAACGCACATTGAAGGCCATTTATGTATGTAATTCATGGTACGCATTCAAGTAATGCAACGCTGACAAGTACACGATCATCAATGCAATGTCCACATGTTGTTGATGAGGCTTTATCTTTTGCAAAAGACTGCGAGTGTGTGCAATGGAACCATAAAGAAGACGTAAACTCATAAAAATAATCAAGAAAGACCAATCAATCAACACGCGGAGGACTTCTCGATTTCTTTCCCATAGGACTGCCGCTTGTTCTAGAATCCAATATTAGCTTCTTGCTTCTACTGCATTGTGCAGCTAGGTAACCAAGGGTGACATACGATCGTCGGCGCTCGCCTTCCTTCCGGAACCCTTCAATGATCTTGGCCATCTCTTTGCGAGACGCATTGGCATCGATCTTCCGTCCTCCGAGACTCATACTCACCTTCTCATGTGCGCTCGCCATAAGCAACCGCTTCATGAGAAGATACCGCATGTTCATACACACGTACACGCCGCAGTCGCTGCCGCCGTCTTGCTGGGGCGAATCGTTCAGATGCAGGAACCTAATGGGCATGTTTAGGAGGTATCCGAATTTGCGAGTCACCGTGTCTGCCTCCCAGACGTTTCCTTGGTATAGCGAGTCGTAGTGAAATGCGATGCGGTCGACGACCGAGATCAACAGGAGGGACCAGTGCGTGCCTCCTTCTGCCTGGGAGACGTTACGACAGTCGTTGATGGGAAGGAAGACATGGGTTGCTCGAGTGAAGTCCGGGAGTGCTTCGCGGAGGGTGCGTGGATCGGGGGTTTGGAGGATCATGAATGACATGCTGGGGCGGAGAAGGATGATATTGGAGGATTGGTATCGTGAAAGAAATTCATGTTCGAGATATCTAGAGCAGGAAGGTCGAGGATCAGTGCCATAGTACTGTGAAGTATGTCGGACCGACTCTAGGGACTTACTCCTCCCAGAATGAGATGATCTATGACACATTAGCTCATGTCCCAGCTGGAAGGATTCTCTCGCCATTCAAACCCACGTTGTCTGTGAGCCAGTCATTCTTGAGAGTTTGCATGTCCTCTCTTGTCACTGTTTCTTCGTTAACTACCTAGTCCTTTTCGCGCTTCGGGGATTGATTCCATACATCGCACGTCGTAATCTATGAGCACCCAAAGGCGACCTGTAAGCATCCCGTTTGCTATTCACCAAGGCGGCAAGATCTGTTCTAAACTTACAACTCAAAAATGCATCATCTGGGTTCAACTGCGCAAGTCAGTACTCGTGCCGCTAATACCGAATCAAGCGAAACCCACCTTATCGCCAAACCGGCCGCGCACCTTGCGCAACATGACGGCAATATGATATGTGCCTTTCAGTTGATCACAAAACCGAAGTCAGGCCGCTAGAATATGAATTCCTTGAAAGCCGCGGGAAGAGAAGCTATACACTGCGCCACAGTCGAGAACGCAATACGTGCACGGTGCTAGGCTCCTCAGATAGCCAAGCCAGACCCCACAAATCGCGGTTATGATAAACGGGGCAGATCTTTGCGCAGGATTTGAGAGTTCGGGTGCCCCGCGCGCACAGGAAATGAGATGCAACCTACAACCTCGTTTATGCAGTGGCAAGCAAAGCCGGATGCGAAATAGACGTCGGCAATGTTCAAGTAACAGACTCGAATGTGTCCCCCGTTTCTGCACTGGCGGAGTAGAAGTGGGACCGGTCGGCAACTCGGGATTGGGCGGCGCTTCGGAGAGGGAGGCCGTCAGCCTTATGCTTATGGGTGGCGGAGAAGGAAGGCGGAGGATGGATTGAATGCTTGAATGCTAATGCTATTTTCAATTGCGCTTATGGACAATAGCTGGTCGAGTGGTACAGAGTATGCTGAGGGGTACGCCAAGGCTGAGAGTAAGTAAGTCAGGCAGTGGCCATGCAAGGGAAGGTTAGACTGAGGCTGTGATTTTCCTTTGGAATGATGCAATCTCGGACGCAGGAACAGGAGGGAGGTAGCGATGAAAACACAAGAGGGACAAATCCCCAAAAGAACTGGACTCAGGCAGGTTTGATCGGGCTGCGTCACATGTGGGGTCACATGATGGGTATACTAAATCAGGACTTATGTTAGGAAGCATTGCGAGGTAGAAATGTATGATTTAGATAAGTCTGCAGGATTTATTAAAGAAATTAATTCATAAGAATAAGGGGTATCTAAACGTGCATCCCAGAGCTCCAGTAGAAGAAGAGGTTCAGACCATGAGCTGAGATGAGAGGAAGGGAACAGAGATCGCATAAAAGTGGAAAAACAGAGAGCAGATCGAAGAGATGGAAACAAGGCCAAAGCAATTGGGATGGACAGAAAAGAAAAACCATAAATCATCAGTATGAGATGACGCCGAACGAAACAAAAGCAGATCAAAGTGACAAAGCAGCAACATTGCAACTGGTGTAGTCGCCTTTGTTTTGCCCTGTTCTTCAAAGGGTATGATTTTGAAGAAATATGAAGACAGATTAGAAAAAGAAACATTCAATATGATCCTGTAATATCCTGTAGTTAGTATGAAACCGTGTATTGTGTGTTTTTCTTCTTGCGGATTTGAAAAATGATTGGCGAATAGATCGAAAAGATGGCGTGAGATTGTTGATTCAGGTGCTGAGTCGGGCAAAATGTTTGTTCCAAATCCAGCCAACGGTCCTAGTGGCATCGTCCTGATTGCGGGCAAGCCAAAGCTCACCCTTCTCGCCTATGACGTCGAAGATATCCCCGGAGGCGTAGGTCAGATAGGGATATCCGCCCTCAGTGCGAGTGTCAATGTCAAAGTCATAAACACTCGCCGCGCAGAACAACGCCGCAGGGCCTATGGGAGGGGCGCTGCGTTCCGGGTGCCCATTTACAGCAGTATCACCCGGCACATCCGACATGGGCATGGCGGACGAGAAGAATCCTGAGTATCGATCAGTCGGGGAGGCTGGCAGGTAGCTCGAGTGCGAAGAGCTATTGATCACATCCTCGAGGAAAGGTGTGTCTAGGCTGAGTCTTGGCAGTCTAGGGAAAGGCTCGATGTCGCTGGTTCTCTTAAGGGCGGGAGCGCTGGTGACTTGTTGCAGCAGTTGATTGGAAGTGTCTGGGATGACTCGGCTAGATAGAATGGAATTGGCTCGGTAACGGCTGCTGCGGCTGGAGTGGCTTTCCATCTGGGGAGACTGGTATGATTGGCTGCCGATGCTGAAATCCCGGGAAACGTTCGGTGAATCATCGGTCATAGACCCAGGTCGCGTCTTCGAGCTGTTCACCGTAGAAGGACGACGAGGCGACATAGAATTATGCTGGTCACCGGGTGACAGGGGGACCAAATTGAGGGAATGAGCCATCATCGCCCCGTTGCAACAACTTAGCTCCCCCACTCGTGCCTCCATCAAAGTGTGGTCACTATTGAAGTCGCTGATGAGCCTGTCAAGGTCATTGGGGAACAATTCCACATGAGCACCAATCTTTTTCTGTAGAACACTGTACCACACAGTTTGAATTTCGATAAAGTTCTTCAGACACGCTGCCATCAGTTTGGAAGTCAACGCGTAGAGTTTAGGCAATTCATCCTTTAAGGTATCATTCAAAGCCAGGAACTGCTCGCCCTGCTCGACGGTCTTCTTGTCAGGTTTGTCGCCACGGTCCTTGATGGCTTTGTAGCGTGCATATTCCGGGAGTCGCTTGTCGCGCTTCCGCATGACCCGCTGGGGTGCATTGTAAAGTCCTAGTAGTTCAACCATCGGATCAATGACCGTTTTGCGGACGACAGCAAGCTGCAATAATTAGTGTTGATTCAATAAAGAAACATGACATAACTTACATGTTCTGGGAGAGCAGTCGTCACAAGCTCCTGAACTGTCATCTTGAACTGATGCCACTTGCTCTCCAATTGTGGATACGGAGAAGGCGACATGCCGATGATCTCTTCGATCGAATCGGCGTACTCGTTGAACTGGTTCACATAGAGTTGCACATCCCGAGAGTAGCTCTCAGCGTCACGCATGACAACCTGCAACTGGAAATAGCCGTCGCTAAGTTTCTGCGCTAGCAAATCATAGGTTTTGTCTTCAAACAAGTCGGAGAGGCCAACTTGCTGTCTAAACTTCTCCGTGCGGCGACCAAAGGCTTTAGACAGACCGGTACGCACATCAGAGTGGTTGCGCTTTCGGCCGACAGCTTGACCAACGAGGTCTACTCGTTTCTTCAATTCGTTGATCCGATGAGAAACATTCGTGACCTCTTCCAGAGCATTGGAAATTGCCGCATGGTCCGGGTGATCTTTTGGCGTGGACTCCAACAGGTCGCGGAGAATAAGGGGGTACTTCAAGATTCTTTGCACCGGCTTAACGAGCAAAGAGTCCAAATCCCAGGCGGTCGTGAGATCCATAGCACCCTTCTGGCATTCGCTCAGCCAAAAGCCCACCTTTGGAATGCGCTGCACGACCTGAAGTTTCTTGTTTGCGGCATCATGGTTTTTCAGGTAATCAGTGTACACCTTTTCCATCTGCGTCATGTGGGCGACAAAAATCTGACCAACAAAGGTCGCGCGATCCTTTTCGAGTTCCGACATTCCTGCTGCTTCGGCGCCTTCTGGGGCAATGGACTCGGCAGCCTGATTGTTGCGCTTTCGCTTGCTGGTCCATCTCAGAGCCTTTGGTATGACGTAGATACTTTGAGCTGCTTGTTTGAGATCAGACAAGAACTTGTCGGAGAAGGCCGCGACTTGGTCGGAATTGCCGAAGAGAACCTTGACATCCTCGGGATCCAATACCGTGAGCGAGGTCCTCTTGTAGATGTCCTCAATGATTATCATATCATGACCAAAGGTGTGCTCCGTATCAACAAGTTCTTTGATTATGTGACGTCGCTTCTTGAGACGTCGCTGTTCCGGAGAAGGCGAATCCTTCGGCTCAACCCGAATGGTTTGCTCGGTGGATGGAACAAGTGAAGTAGCGGAGGAGTCAGCGGCCTCGGGAGACTGAATAGACTCCAAAGTTCGGAAAGAAGAGTCATGGCTGCTGCCCGGGCTATGTCCCGCGGCTCTAGGAGCAGCCTGGGTACTGCGACTGAGTCCAATGTGGCTCGATGAATTAAGCGAATTTTGACCTCCAAGAGGTTCATTATCAGTAGAGTGCATCGTTGAGGGCGAGAGGAATCCCGAAGTAAATGCATGAGGCAGAGTCTGGTCGTTGGAAGCTTGAGCATCAACCGAGACTCCCAGGCCATTGTTTTTGTTGGATGCGCCAGCATCTTGGTTTGCCGAAGGCACTAGGCGGGGGGTGAGTACCCCTTCAGTGCGCATGCCATCGGTTTCGGTGTCGGGGGTTACAGCATCATCTTCGGCTGCGATCTGCATCCAGTCCATGATGGACGGAGACGCATGTTCCCAATCATCACGTCCAACCAAACTAGCTGTGTGTGAGAGTGTCTCTGAGTCATGGAAATCTTTGAACCCCGGCACGACTACCGGATCCTCAGTTAGGCTATCGGGTCGCCCATCTGCACGTGTATCTGCAGGATGAGATCGAGGCTCGGACGAGGGGTAAACTGCTGGGCCAAGGTGGTGACTCCTGCCTCGCGTCAACTCCTCCAGATAGAGCTGAGTGGCACGCTTCGAATCCCATCTGCCCAATCTAGCTAAGCTTGGTGGATCAGAAAAGGCATTGGATCGAAACTGTTCAGATCCTTGAAGTGTGCTCGGACCCATTACGCCGTGATCCTGAATTGAAGCTGGTGATTCATCGTCTACCATTGAAGCTGGCCTTGTTGAAACAGCCGAACAAGTTTCAGTTGGTGGTTCCGTTTCACGGCCTCGTAGCAGAGAATCATCACCACTCTCGTCACAATGCTCGTCACAGGTGGAATCTTGGTGTTGCCCAGATGACCAGGAACTCATACTCCATCGGTTGTGAAGATCAGTTTCATTTTGAGCCTGGTGCATTGACGCACGCTCAGGCTCTTGAGTATCATTACTACTAGAGGAATTGTAGTAAGGCGTATCTCCAAGCATAATCTGGATGGACTCTCTGTCGTCATTCTCTGAAAGACTGCAATCAGGTTCGTCGCATGAGTCGTCGCTCCGGTTGGACCCGCGGATTTGCATTATATGATCCAGAAGAGTTTGAGAAACGCTGGGATTGCGCTGCAGCAGCCCGGACTGGGGCTCCGGATCAAAAGTAGTGACATGGGTATCACCAGAGTCTGATGTGGCACCCGAATCTGTCGGGTCATCAACGGTAGGCTGTCCTTCACCTGAAGTTGTTGAATCTACACCCTGTGGGAGGCCAAGAGTGGGAGAGTCCATCGTTGTGTGGGGCGCTGCCGTATCCGATGCCGGCAGGGCAGTGTTGAGGTGCAGCCTAGGAACGGCTTGAACCCCATTTTCGTCATACTCAACCGAGCCGGTCGAGTCTTTAACCATCGTAGCCATCTCGTCGGATGACGGGGCGTGGATCACAGGCGGGTTAGGGGTAATTGTAGGTTCATCCATCGATTGCTTGAGATCTTCATTCGTCTCCTGTTCTCGCACCGAAGCGTGACGTCGAAGCTTTCCAGCAGTTGATTTGTTCGGTCCTCTGTCATTCTGATTCTCTTGAACATCCGAGTGTCGGTAGAGTGCCTGTTGAATGTGCCGGCGACGAGCATCAAAATCAACCTTGACCAATTCAGGTAATTTGCGTTCAGGACGAGACCGCGAGTTGTTGTAAGTAGCGTGTTTTTGTAAATTCAAAACTCTATCCCCGATTTTGGAGCGTGGGGAGACCGCAGCACCATGTGAGACGGGTTGTCGAGGTCGTGAACTGCGCAACGGAGGCGACTTTTTAGGTGGCGGCTCAGCGATGTAAGCTTCAAGTCGCCGACTGGATTCAGATAACTGATTGCGTGTTCGGCCGATTGTTAGATCCCGCCTACCACGCGGGTTCGTCGCGAACGAAGCGGGATCATCTGCTGGTATGCGGGGAGAACTTTGTTTAGGTGACGGAATAGGAAGGCGGCTGCCGCCCCTGGGCGGCGAGGTAATGGCAGCGGATCGGCTGCTGAATGTTGGATTGGAGGATGGGGATAAGCTTTCGGAACCGGAAGTGACGAAACGGTGCGAGCAGACAGGAATGCGCGACTTGGAATTTGGACTGCCCGGGGGCGACCCATGGCCGGGTTTAGTCTGCCGCAAGGGCGCAGGTACCGCCATTTCAGGATTCCACGGATCTGCAAGGGGCTCTCTTGTTCTATCCAAATCACTTAGGACTCGGCGATGTTTGCCGGTGCTATTTATCCCGGCCTGGACTGCCTCCAAAGAAGTTGTGTGTCCAAGATACCATGCAGTGGGCGTGAGTGGTGATTTTGCAGGATATTGATCGAGACGCTCACGGAAGGCTGGGTTCGGGCTTGGAATACTTCCATCCGACCCACGGCGTTGTTGTAAACGCGATATGGCACCGTTGTTAACCTGTGTGTTGATAGGCGACAGTTCACCAAACAATGGCCGGCGAGTATGCGATTCTGTAATCCGTTGAAACAGAGGGGGTGGAATAGCACTATTTGTATCTAGGGCCGGACCGATTCTGTCTATCTCTGGCGACGACGGGTTCGAATCCGCTGGCGCTCGAGAATTGCTGGTGATCGACTCCGGTAGCGAATCACGATACTGACGACGCCGTGGCAACACCCGATTTCGCTCTCCGTCAACACTTCCGGAAGGACTCGGTGCTCTTGAGGTTGGACGCGAAACAGATGGCAAAGGGAGGACCTGATCCGTGGTTTTGTTGAACTTGTTGACAAGATCTTTGAACGACGGCTGTCGTGACCTTGGGTTCACATGCAACGGGGGTATGTTGACCGAGGGAGCTCCTAGCGTTGGCGAATCCGAGGTTGAACGGTATGGTTGACGTCTAGTGCGCGATGACTCCAACATGGTTGTTGGCAGGGGTGATACTTTGTCATCGACTGAAGGATAGTCGGCCGCGGCCATGCCCATTCTTACATCACCAAACCCCTCTCTTACATTGGATGAAGTGCCTGGCAGGGATCCACGCTGGCGATAATAATCAGCGGGGTCTGGAGACTCCCGTCCTCTACAATCTTGCAATTGATCGCCCGACGAGAGGTGATTCGCGGAAGTAGAGGAATTATGGGGTCGTATGAAGCCCGACGATAGTGGAGCATACGTGGTCGATGGTTGTGCCTGGGGAGAGAAGGAGACGGTCGGCGAGTCACCTAAAGAAGTGGTAGTGTGACCATTGGCAGATTGGCCAAATGCCGGAGCCGACAATTGTCGCCCAAACGGAGGTGGGTGGCGATACCGGACATCAAAACCCTGCTCGTCACCGCCAGACATCTTGCATGCTTCAGGCCGACAGGTCGACGTGGACTGGTCGCGGCCTTTCGGTTCTGGGCGGGTTGCGTTGGTGCGTTGTTCCGGGATGGTCGCCCAACGGGAATGTCGCAGGTGAGTCGATTCAGGCTACAAAGCAATCCTCCTGGGTGGCGCACACCCATTCAGCATTCATATTTGAGACAACTCGCCAAACAAAAAAAATTCGATATCGAGGGGATATTTCCCCGGTCAAAGCTCGAAAGGTAAGATTGTTGGATGGAGTTCGAATCGGGGGGATCGGGGAAGAGTAGAGTGGTGAGATCGAGGATCGGCCAGTTGCCGAAATTAAACTGTCGTGAGAGAGAGAACGGATAGGAGGATCGAGCTCCAGACGGATGTTTTGTTTACCAGCCGTGGCTGCTGATAGGTGTTGGAACCTGGTAGTTGAGGGGTTTCAAAGCGAATCCTGACTGTGGGCCAGATTGCTAGCTCTCCGGGCCAATCCGTGTTGACAGGCTGACCTGCACTAGTGACAAAGAGGTGTTGAAGTTACAGTGTCGATCTTTGAACAATATTTTGTGATGGGTGGAAAGAAAGAATTGTGACGAGTTCGAGGAAGAAGACTCGAGGAAGAAGAGAAGAGGGAAGAAATCAATCGGGACTAGTGGATGATATGTTTAAAGTGAAACTGAATTTGGGAGTGGATTTGGCGGATGTTGTGGATTTCTTTGTCTTTGTTCATTGTTCAGCTGGATGTTGTACTGTACGTGGAGGAATCCTATATATCATTTCCTCGGCTTGTACCTTTTCTATACATCGCAAATACCTCGACTACACATCCATCACACCAGCAATACCGCAACTGACAGGCGTATACCTCCGTATTGTACCTCGACATCCCCCGGGAACAAGATTAATCTCCCGGAGACCCCCATGGATGACGCAGTGGAGACGCAATGGCCAGCCCTGGAGTATCTAGACCGCCCCGTTCCATGGTTCGCTCCGATGTTTAATTGGTAGCTTTGATTGGTTCCTGATTTCCTGATTTCACTTACTTTTCCACGGAAGTCTCTTATTGTATGTTGACATCTATATACTTCGGAGACTTCAGAGACTTCAACGGCTCATCCATGGTTCAAGATTACTGATACTAGGAAGGTGTCGAGTTCGAGAGCATTCGCGTATCCGAACTTTGTTTGCCGCGCACACTTGACGCGTCGCGCGAACCCATCAAAACTTATGTTGTATACGCAATGAACCAAACTCACAGGGATCCGAAAAAGGAATTACACATTTAACCTGAGAATCGCCTCTCATGGGCAAAAAGAGGAAAAGACCCATCAAGGACCGCGGGTCCACGTCCTCGTCTCACACGGGTATCACCACGTCTCCCCGCCGTTTCAGGCCTCCCCATGCGCCAATTCCCCTGGGAACAAAAACAAGCCATCCCGTTATCTCGCTGTACTACCGAAATGTCGTACCCTTGCGGGAGTACCTGCTCCATAAACTTCCCGTGACCTCCAAGTCGCGTCGGCGCCGCATCCTGACATTGGGCTCGCGGGAAGACCAAGGGACCAATGCACAACTTCAAACGTCTGAGACATTGGCGGAGCTGCTAGACTCCACACTGGTGGGTGTGCTGAAGGAATCGTCTCCGACCCTTAATTACGAACGACAAAAGCAATACTCCTCTTTTAATGAGTCTCAATCGCGGTCAATTCTCGTCAGCACCGATACCGGGCCGACTTGTCCCCAATCGGAGGTGAGCCCATGACGGCCGAATCATTTACAGGTGTCAGATTGCTGATCCTTGTCGCAGGTGGTTGACTTTGTGATCTGGAAAATCTTCAATCGTAGCAATGGCTACTCTAAAGAGGCCAAGCATCTGCTGACGCATGGCTTCAAACGCATGTCTATGCACCATGCTCAACACACTGGTATTCCAGGCATCGTGTCTCAGTTTCCGAATCAGAATGTTCAGGTTCTCAAGAAGGGTGCATGGGCAGAGGTCCTGGGCTTGCTTGGTAGTAATGGGGAGGAGATTATGATGCAGCTCCTTTTTGATTGCGGAGTTTTTGCCCCGATCGACGCTGAAAATGGCATCTACTACCAACTTAGCGGTATGATTCGGTCAAGATGTAGGGAGAGAGTTGATCCCGGTTTGCTGATATTTTTATAGGTATCCCACTCTCGGATCTCGAGCCTTTGAGCGACGCATCTGCGGAAGCCAACGGCTCTACTGCCACAGCACAAGACTCAATGCCTACCGCTGGTCAAAGACATCCCAAAGAGAAAGCTGAATACAAACAGAGTTCCGAGATGCTCCAAAGCCCAAACAACATTGTGTTTATGCGGCGACGTATCCTCTATGGGCGTGTCGAGTCTAAAAAGGGAGTAGCCTCTGGACTAGGACAGAAACGTACGTGCTTCGCCGTTTGAATAATGGATTTTAGGTTTATGCTAATTCCCATTAGATGTTCTTGGCCGCTTCTCAACGCTTGATTCGATGGCGCAAACAGTCCATGTTATGAAGTACATATTTCCCCGTCAATTCGGCCTGCTGAATGTATTTACGCTGGACTCGGATCAACGCAAGCAGATGAATGACTCGAATGGTTTCATGTCTCGTGAGAGTGAGATATCTCTTTTGGAAGAACAGAAACGACCACAGGGGCCTCAGACTGGGAGTGAATCAGCAGATGCAGGTTGTGGTGGCGTGAAAAGTGTCAAGGTACCTAAGAGGCTTCGTGGAATTACTATAGAGCTTGTCCGGAAGCTCCGGAACCGCAACGCACAATGCTCCTACGGAGAGTTGCTGCGATACTATTGTCCAACCGAAGTGAGACACTTTTGTTTACATTGGCTAGGATTGTGTAGCTGACCTTTGGCAGCAAACCGAACCCAGACTCCTTGGCGCATCTGTCTCCACAACTGATGCTAAAAAAAGCGAGCCTATCTCCTCTCTCGAGTCAAATTTTGTAACACAGGTGAACTACCCGTCGCCAAGTGATAGTTCGCAGACCTCATGTGATGGCGCGAGATCAGAGCCGCACATAGCTGTCGACACATCTTGTGGAAACGATGCCGAGAAACCGGTGATCCGAAAGACTCAAGTCAGTCTAACTGATCATGCGACTCCGCCATCTTCTGTCTCGGCATTTTGTCGAGCGGTAATCCAGAAATTGATCCCACGGCAGTTTTGGGGGGTTGGTCCAGATGGTATTTCGAACTTCAAGCTGGTTCTCAGGCATGTTGACCGATTTATCAAATTGCGCCGATTCGAAAGTCTAAGTCTGCACGAAGTCTGCAAAGGTGTCAAGGTTGGTCATTGCTTGCACTGAACTGATCGTCTGAGACAAAGCCGTACTGATCCGCACGCTAGATAACAAGCATTCCTTGGCTGGCGCCACCCCAGGTCCAGACTAGTCTGCCATCTGAGACAAGATCGAAGATCGCCCTGTCTGACTTGCACAAACGCACCGAGCTACTCCATGAATTCATGTTTTGGATTTTCGATTCACTCCTTATTCCTCTCATTCGTTCGCATTTCTATGTCACCGAGTCTCAAGTGCACCGAAACCGCCTTTTCTATTTCCGCCATGATGTGTGGCAGCAGTTGACCCAGCAACCTTTCGGTGACTTGAAGGCAATGATGTTCGAGGAGCTTGAGTCAGATCAAGCCCAACGTGTGCTGGCGCGGCGGTCCTTTGGTTTCGGTGCTCTCCGTTTGCTTCCCAAGTCTACAGGCATCCGGCCCATCTTGAACCTTCGCAAACGAGATTTGAAGACACGGTCATGGGGGAAACGGGAAACGTACCTTGGCATCAGCATCAATTCAAGTATTACGCCTATTTATAACATGTTGACCTATGAGCGTGAGCAAGCTCCTGCCAAATTGGGCTCGTCGATACTCTCCGTTGCAGATATGCACCGCCGATTGAAGGCGTACAAAGAACAATTGTCCCAACGACTGCCCTCGGCTTCTAGACCTTGGCAATCCAAGCTCCCACCGATGTACTTTGTCAAGGTTGATATCAAAGCTTGTTTTGATACTATCCCCCAGAAAAAGCTGCTTAATCTTATCGAAGAGCTGGTCTCTGAAGAGAGCTACTGCATCGCAAAGCACACCGAGATCCACCCGCCCACTTCTACTGCGAAACAAGGAAAGCCCATACGAAGGTTTCTGAGTCGCGCTACTCCTGCTATGAAACCGCAACACCTACCAGACTACGTCAATAGCGAAAGCACGACCCGAAAGGCCAACACCGTTTTTGTTGAGTGTGGTCAAAAAGAAAATGATGCTGATAGTCTTCTGGAACTTCTCAGTGAACATGTCCAGAACAACCTCGTGAAGATAGGCAAGAGATTTTTCCGCCAACGCAACGGCATTCCTCAAGGCTCCGTGCTATCAAGCCTCCTTTGCAATTTCTTCTATGCCGAGCTTGAGCGAAAGGTACTGAATTTCATCAAACCCGAGGATTCTCTTCTCCTGCGACTCGTGGACGATTTCCTTCTGGTCACCCCGGATGTAGCTGTGGCAATGCAGTTTCTGGAAGTAATGATCAGGGGCCAACCATCGTACGGTGTACAGGTCAATCCAGCGAAAAGCATGGCCAATTTCAGCGCAGCGGTTGACGGGATTTTACTTCCCAGATTAGAGGGAAGCACATTATTTCCGTATTGCGGTAGTCTCATCGACACTCACACGCTGGAATTTCACCGCGATCAAGACCGCATCCTTCAGGGCGGCGAGTCGGCTGCTGCTACTCTCTCCGATGCCTTGACCGTTGAAGCCGCCCGCCTACCCGGCCGTACCTTTCACCGCAAAATGCTCTCCTCATTCCGTCTGCAGCTATATTCCATGTACATTGATGACGGACACAATTCGCGCGCAGTTGTGCTAGCCAACCTCTACTGCAGCTTCATCACTGCTGCCATGAGGATGTACCGCTATATGAAGTCGCTTCGGGGTCGTGCGCATCCCGGCCCTGCCATCATAACACAGACTATCCGCGATCTGATTCGGCAGACGAACCGTTATATCCAGGCCCGGCGTGCTGGTAATTCGGAGTCCCCATTCTCGTGTTTCGTTCAGCGATCCCATTTACAGTATCTGGCTTCTGCGGCATTTCGGTTTGTTTTGAAGCGCAAGCAAACACGGTATGCGGTGGTGCTGCGCTGGCTAGACTCGCTGAGTAAAGATTCTCGACCCACATCAGATTCCGAGGCTTCGAGAATAGCACAGGTAGTGAAGAAGGGAAATGCCATGTTCGAGGAATGGCGGTTCTAGAATAGTTAGTGCCGGAATGTCTGCAAAATCAAGTAATAATCGGTGTAATTGTACGATCAATTGCCCTCGACTAGTATAATTGCACAATTGTACGCTCATCTCCCTGGGGCCAATTAAATAGTGCATACAGTGCCACAATCTATTCAGCCCGCCAGCATCATTGGGCACAAATCCGGCTAAATCCGATTGAAACAGATCAGGGTTCAGGGGTTCAAATCAAGATATCTTTGATCTGTGTTCAGGGACTTTCAAGGCTATGTAGGTTATCCCTTCCCATCTGGGTAGAGATCAGTTTCCATCTACCGTCTACCACATACAACATAGAATGTGTTGAATACTTTATCGCTACTTCTTCATAGCCCCTTTTTACCCTAGTGAAACAAGGTAGCGCCGAGGTACCCCCTGTTCTCAGCCAGACCGAGTGCGGCATAACGGCCTGAGGCTCTCCGCTTGCAATCTTGAGCATCACGGTTTCTTCTTCTCACTCTCTTTTGGATTCTCACTGTCTTCGTCTCTCGTTTGAATCTTTTACTTCTTTTCTGCTTACTTCCACCCCCACACTCTTTTCCTACTGTTTTTTGCTTACCCTCTACAACCCCCCTGGCCCTCAATGGTCACCCCGTAATCTTCTCTCCTGATCCCTCTTTACACGACTACACCTGATCTGGATCTCATCAGGCTGCGGCTGTGCCTGCAATTCATTTCTACATTAATTGACTTCTATTGCGGTATTATTCTTTCCTGTCTGGAAACGCCTGACCATTCTCATTCAAAAACACCGATCTTCACGTCCGTTGTTGACCCCTTCCGGACATCCGCCAATTTCCTCCCACCCTGTGTACTTTTTCAGGTCGATCATAATTGCGGGGATCAATACATCTGAATAATTACATGAGATCATGACCACCGTTTTCCCGACACCCAATTCGCCCCCCGAGCTCTCCGGGTCCAAATCCTCCAAATCCTCCTCGTTTCATTCCTCCTCCCACCTGGACGGTGCGGAGAGTATCTTTACGGACATCTCGAATTTTGAAGACATTGGCTTGGAAGATGATACCGATTTGACATACGCCGATCCTCGAGGCTCCTACGCCCGCTCTGGGGTGATGGCACGGTCGCCCGCCGCCAGAATATCAAGCAAAGTCCCTGCGGCCTCAACTCGCGACTTGACCGCGGTCCCCAAGCCTCGCAAGCGAAGCCCCCTGCCCCCGCTCCACAGCGGATCGACCAATGTGTCGGCAGGCTCCCTCACTGCGAGAACTGCAGCCCGAAAGGATCCAGGCAACACATTGCATTCACCCGGTTTGACACCATCGCAAGCTCGCCGGTCACGGTCTGTCTCACCACTACGGCCGACATCCAGTCGCTCCGCCTCGAGCACCAGCCTGGGTCTCTCTCCGCTATCTGCACGAGTGCCCATCCAGAAACAAACTTGGCAACCGAATCGCAAGTCGGTCAAAGATTTGGAGGAAGAATACCATGACTCGGACGATGAACTACCGGACGATGCAAGTCTGTGGAACATCCCTATTTCTCCGCGCCCAGTTCAGGATCGGGCTCCATCACGGTCTGCCAGTCCAAATGGGCGCAGCCCCGGGCGGCGACCACTGCCTATCCAGCACGTCATACCCGGGAGCGATAAGCAAGCGTCCGAAAATACGGCCAGGGCATCCCGCATGAAGCGTATACCCCGATCGAGCTCCGCAGGACCGGAGCGTGGACAACTGTCGCCACGCAACCCTCGTACCTACTCATATAACAGTTTCCTATCTGACTTGTCGGAGGAAGCTAAGATCATCACTGAAGCTCTGGAGCTGCATGCTGATGATAGAGATCGCAAGCGGGAGGAGCATATTCAAACCGGTGCTCTGCGGAAGTCCAGCGAGGACTCGCATCGCGCATCTCGTGATGCTGTCGCTTTACCGCCTCTGCAGAAATCAAATATCATGATCGATCCGCTGCCAATTAGCAAGGAGAAAGAAAGGGTCCTCACGCGGACACGCCCCAGCTGGCTTCCGCCTAAGGACCAGAAGGAGGAGAGAAAACATCTAAAGCAGTATCAGCAAATGATGGCCCAGTCTCGAGAAATTGGTATGTGCAAGACAAGATCCGTAAAGTATTGTCGGGCTTCTAATTGGTATTTCAGAGAAACGCAAAGCTGCCAGGGAGGCAAATGCACAGTGTGAAAAGGATAACACTCGAGCTACACTGCAGAACATCTGGGATGAATATGTGTATCCGAATTGGGACCGCGCTCTCCGCGAGCCCCGAATTCGCGAGTTATGGTGGCGCGGAATTCCGCCTCGCAACCGGGGCACCATATGGAAACGAGCCATTGGCAACGAACTAGCATTAACCGAGGAAACCTTCACTAAAGCGTTGCTCCGAGCAAAGGATCTCCAAGGCAAGAAAGATGTAGAAAGCGAGAACAGCAAACGACTACTGGACTGCTTTGAGGCAATCGAAACGGACGTGCCCAAGGCCTTCCCAGATATGAACCTCTTCCAAGGATGCGGTCCACTACGGCAAACCCTCATTGACGTCCTGCAAGCATACTGCATGTACCGCAGCGACGTAGGATATATCCACGGTCTGCACACCATCGCCGCCCTCCTCGTCTTGCAATTCCCCACCCCCGCTTCCGCCTTCCTTGCCATGGCCAACGCCCTCAACCGTCCTTTGCCCGTCGCGTTCCTCACTTGGGACCGCGGCGCCATGGCCCGGTCCTACACTCTAGCCTCAGACACCTTGCGCTACAAGTTCACCCGTCTACACACTCACCTGACCGACACCCTCAACCTTTCCGAGGCAGAGATTTGGGAGCCCATATTCCGCTCGCTGCTGACAAACGGCCTTGACCTCGAGCGCATCTCCCGCGTCTGGGACTGCTGGGTCTTCGAGGGTGATCGCATTATGATCCGCTCCGCCGTCGCCATTCTGGGCTGTCTCCAATCGCAACTGTTCTCCTTCCACCAGAGTGATGAGCAGTCCCGTCTAGCTGTGCGCGACGTGTTGGGCTGGGGTCCCCGCAGTCATGGAGCCAACACCCAGAAACCCAAAGAGCGGCATAGCGCCCCTGCCGCAGCTGGCTTTGGCGGTGGGCAGATCGAGAACCCCGGCATTGCCGATTATTGGGTTCTTGGTGCTTCGGGCGACGAGGATGACTTCATGAATGCCGTCCGCGAGGCTGGAAAGGTGCGCCAGCCAATTCAATAGGCTTGGATATAATACGTGCCTTCGCAATATGTGTGCTCTGGTCTGTCAGGTTCTCACCTTTACTTCAGCCTTTCGTTCTTCTTCGTTTTCCTTTTTCCTCCTTACCGTACCCTCATCATTCCAGATAGCGCATAGCATGGCATCACAGCCTGGCCAACGTGTCTGCTTGCCTTCCTATCTACTATCTACCCGTATACACATGTCACTCGTTGCACAGCCGTTTTGTCTATTCTATGTATCTTGAACTGACTGCATGAGAACCACTCGTTTCTTTCTTCTCGTTATATTTTTTGTTTTTCTTTCCACCCAGGAACCCCAATATTCTTAGCTCATTGATTGGTCTTTTTCACTTCTTCCTGGTTTTCCCACTACTTCATCTTGTATTTTTAGCCACCCCGACTTTCATGCCTTGATGCATCGCTGTTTTTCATCGTTGATACGTACTTGTTAGTGGTATTACAAGCAATTCAGGTCTTTTGCAGTCATTCCACTATGTTCACTGAGAAATATACTGCATTGCATAGCTGGGGAGCATGGTTGGTATTGGAGGAACTGACTGATAAATGTTTCTTAAGGAACCCCCATCATGCAGAGCCAGCAGCAAGAACATATCCCCCATCAATAACAACAGTCTGCCCATTAAAATACTGATTACAAACCGCAAAAAGCACAGCACCAGCCATATCCTCATCTCTCCCAGGCCTAGCAACAGGAACTTTCACCCGATACTTCTCATCCGGAATAAAACTCTTCTGCTTCTCATCACTCTCCCCAGTAGTCATCTCACTAGGAAAAGGCCCCGGCGCAATATTATTAACCCTAACCCGCAGCTTCGACGAACTAACCTGCTGCGCAAGCAACTTGGTCAAATGAATCGCCGCCGCCTTGGAAGCATTATACGCAAAATGGTGCTGCGCCATCTTCACAATCCCAGACATGGAAGTCGTGTTGAGCACAGTGCTAGACCAACCATCTCCAACCTCCGATCCGCGCTGCAGCAGCGGCAGGAACGCCGTTGTCATGAAGAAGATATGTGAGACATTCTCGCGGAAGACCTCGTCCCACTCGTCGAACGTCGCAGCCGGGTCATCGAACAGAGTTTCGCGGAGCTCGGATGCATCTTTGCGCTCAGTGTCTTGCGTCTGGCTGGATATTCCGGCGTTGTTCATTAGGATTGAGAGGTAGCCTTCGCGCGTGGAGATCTCCGAGACTAGTCTTCTGATCTCGTCTTTTTCGGTTACGTCGGCGGCGAGCGGGATTATTTTGCCGCTTATGTTGTTGCCGTAGAGAGAGGCTACGCGCTCGAGTTTGTTTGCGGTGCGTCCGGTTATGTATACTTTGGCGCCGTTCACGGCTAAGGCTTGCGCTGCCATTAGGCCTATTCCTGAGCCGCCGCCTGTGATTAGGGCCACTGAGGTTGTTAGAACAGGGTTGTTGCACTGGGGTTTATATATTGCTCACCTTTGTCTTTCACGTTGAACAGCTTTTCTAGCTTGAGGCTTTGGTTGCTTTCACTGGCTGCTATTTTGGTCTTGTCTGAAACGGGGGCTTTTCTAGTGGAATTTATTCCAAATTGACGAGATGGTAGGAGAGAACATAGCTTGGGTCGGATTAATAGAATTGACCTTCGAATTGTTTGTTTTTTGCTGAGGACTGTTGTGTATAATCGCGGCATGGCTGTATATGTAGACGAGGTAAAATGGGGGCAAGTCTTTAGGACAAAGCTCGAACCTCTTCTAGTCATACTTCGCATGTTGCGGCCATGAATCAATTGTAGGTCGGCAGTTGCTTCAATCAACTATCTTGTCAGCATCCAATCCCTACATAAGTAAACCGAAGTGTATCAGAATGACGTCACTTAAATTATGTGAACAGAGCAGAAAGACTCAAACGGACAGCAAGCACAGAAAAAGCAGAGTAATAAAGAAAATGAAACCAACTGCCATGTAAGAGGTATCTACTAATTATTGTAGAAGTGACTTTGGTTACATTTTTGAGAATCCTCATGCTGGAAATATATTTACTACCTGAGATAACAGGCAATATTTAGCATGGCCTGCGTGGCCTTCATCAGAATCCTATCATCTGTCATACATTCACAGCTTGGCCTTTACAGCCAACGCCTCGCTGACCGGCGCCACCTCAACCATCATCTTACCGGTGTTGGCACCAGCATAGAGGTCAATGAGACCTTGAGGCGCAGCCTCCAAGCCACCAGGCACAATGTACTCTTTGCGCTTGAGCTTACCCTCGGACAACCAAGTCCCGAGATCCTTGAGTGCAGCCGGGAATTGCTTCGCATGATCGAAGACAATGAAACCCTTCAGGGTGATCCGTTGCGACTGTCATCAATTAGCCGAAGTCCCCATAAAAGACACACCCAAAACCAAGAGAACTCACAATCACACTCATAAAACTGGCCGGACCCTGCGGCTTAGCAGCATTATACTGACTGATAGCGCCACAGATAGCAAAGCGCGAGCCAGTAGCCGCTCTCGCCAAGCAAGCATCGAGGATATCACCGCCGGTATTATCAAAGAAGACATCAATATACTCAGGCGTAGCGATCTTAAGCTGCTGCCTCCAATCCGCATCCTTATAATTGACCGCAGCATCGAAACCAAGCTCCTTGACCAAGAAATCACACTTCTCCTTAGTCCCCGCCAACCCCACAACACGCTTGGCGCCCTTGATGCGCGCAATCTGGCCAGCCACCATGCCCGTCGCGCCCGCAGCACCGGACACAACAACCGTGTCCCCCTTCTTCACCTGCGCGATCTCGATCATGCCAAAGTATGCCGTCAGCCCGGTCATGCCAAGCACGGACATCGCGTCTGTGGGCCGTCCGCCTGCCGGAACGTGTATCTTTTCCGCCTCTTTCGCGCCGACCACGGCATACTCCTGCCAGCCGGAGCCGGCGACGACCCAGTCGCCCTTGCTATACTTGGACGTCAGACCGCTGCCGACGATGAGGACCTGAGCGATGCTCTGGCCGCGCATCACGGCGCCTTGCTCGACGGGGGCAATGTAGGAGCGCTTGGCGGTGAGCCATTGGCGCATGGCCGGGTCGAGAGAGAGGTAGTGCACGCGGACGAGCAGCTTGTCTGTAGGTACATCCTTGGGGATGGGGATGGTGTTTAGACGGAAGGTGCCATTGCTGAGAGAGGGGTCGATGGCCGGCGCGGGAGGCTTGCTGTAGATGATTTGTTTGTTGGACATTTTGAAGGATGCTTGAGGGGATTCTGAGTGAAGAGAGAACGTTCGTTGTCGAAAAGGAAGAGGAGAAGGTGGAAATATCTACAACATATGTAGGATCGGAGACACTCCAGATTAGGAAAACTGCTCCTTGGGCCTCGGCTTGTCCCCGGGCCAAAGTCGAAGTGTTGAATAATCAGCTTCTTGCAGATGCATTATTTTTTTACTAGGACACAATAGGATGTCTATGTCATCCATCCCAGAAGGGCCCTCAATGACCGCAACAAGATATTTATATATCTCGAACGGGTGATCTAGGGTCTGCACTCATCCTGACGTCATTGACAAAGAAGTATAAAAGCAGGGACTGCAAGACTACGAGGACTGCCACATTCTTCTAATAACACCGAGACAAGAAAAATAAATACAATCTCCATATTCAATCATGTCGCAACCACCCTACCAAGGCTATGAACACGCCGACCCAATCCATACTGCCCGCGGCGAAGTGGGTGGCGGCTCCTCAACTGGCGCCCAAGGCATCCCAACAGGCCTCCACGACACACGATCCGATTACGATGAATCCAAGGGCTACAACTCTGCCACAGGAGCCAGTTACTCGCGAGCATCGGCAGGAGGACCGACCCAGACCCACCAGCGACCGCTCTCACCGTCGCCTCGCAGCGATGACCGGATTGTAGGGGATGCGCCGCTCCCGTACACGGCCAGTACAGCGCAGCGCGCGGAAATGGGTGATCGTTCGGCTCATGGGACTCATGGGTCTCATGGACGGTCTGGTGAGAAGTTCGGGGAAAGAGTGAAGGAAGCTTTCGCGTCGGTTCATGTAAGTTGGAATCTTTCTGCTCTTGGGAAATGAGAAACTGAATTTGCTATAGGGCGCTGGAGAATCATTGCGTGGAAACTTGACCACCGCTGTTGATCGGGCTTTTGGGTCTGAGGATGGTGCTGAGCGGAATCAAGAGATTGCGAATAGAGGCGAGGAGGAGTTTCGGACTGGTCAGTTTGTGGGGCACAGGGACCATAGAACATAATGTGTGATATTGGGAATGTAATTAGGAATCTGGGATATTAAATAAGAACATAGCTATTGAATATGTATGTTATGCCGTCGAAGGTTAGGGCCCGGATCCAACGCCGATCATACATCATGGTAGAAGGAGATCGATACGATATACTCCATAAACCTGTATCCATCAGCCAAGCATCTCCCCTTTGCTAAGACATTCTTAAAAGTTCTTAAACGTTCTTAGAATTTTTTAACTTTTATACAACGTAAGTTCCAGAGACCATCCGACCGACCCGAGAAGGCTGTGCTGGTGGAACCCACCTGTTTCCGGTTATGAACGCACTCGACACAACATTCTTCCTTCAAGTATATTCTACAAAGGCATTCCTATAATCCTTTACTCCGCATTTTGATCCTGGCCCACATTTGTGCATATAGCCAATGCCAGGTTTGGAGACAGTTGCACACTCGTACGACCTCATGCTTTGAAACTGGTTGATAAGCTTTCTTTCTCGGCATATATCGTCATGGTCTCAATTTCCGCCGACCAACCGGCGTCGGAAAGCGCTGCGACGGCCGCCCCAACAAACTCGCACCAACAGGCATTGTACTCCTCGGAGACGGCATCCTCGAATCTGCTCGGGTCAGACTCTCCCTCCCAATATTCGTCCTTCTCCAGCTCCGATAGCGACGAACCACTGAGCGACGAACCCATCCCGCACTCGACCGAGGTCACCGATGAAGATGCCGCCGGCGACGTGGTGGGGGTTAGCATCGGACGCGAGCAGAGCCGCATGAAGGCCCGAGCAACCCCCGTGGAAGAGAAGAATCGCGTGCTGGAACACCAGGGATCATATTTTTCGACTATACCGGATACTATAGGCGAGGATGGTCTGTTTGCGTCGGAACTCACGGCCGAGCCTGAAACGGTGGAGCCCAAGGTTGAAAAAGCACCAGCACCAAAACCAAAACGAGCACCAACATCGGCACCAAGACCAGCAACGGGCGGGGAGAGGCGCGAACATAAACCTAGGCCGTCATACTCCTCCGCACAGTATGATGAGCCTGAACCAGGCAAGCTTGCGCATGGCCCTCGCAGCGATCTATTTGCCTCGGCTCATGAGAAAACCGGGTCGAAAGATGCAGCCGGGAGCCAGCGGTCTGGTTTTGTCGGGGCCTTGTTGAAGAATTCATTACCTCGCCGGCCACGTGCCTGGTCCAACGAGTTGAAGAAATTCCTACCTGACCTGACCTCTTTGAGGAAACGGCCTTCTCTCGCGTTCCGTGCCCACAATGGCCAAAATCGAATTCGCAGCCAGACGGTAGCCCCTGCAGCTAAAAAACCCTTGAGCCAGCCGAAAAGAACATCATCGCTGGTCCTGCACCCGCAACGGTCACCTCTTGCACCGAGCGGTTCAAGCATCGAGGATGAAGGAGAAGCCGCTCAGTCGATACCTGAGCTGCGCTCGCCAGATGGGACCTCGGCCGCGAAACATTCCTTTACACGGCGGCCTAGTTCAGTCATGCCCGGTCGACCGCCAAGTTTGCGGAGGTCCTCGTCGGATCAATCGCTGTATCTGCGTGCGTCTTCCACGGCATCGTCCCTTGAACAGCGACCATTATACGAGAATGTACATTCTCAGGTAAATAGCCGGTTCAAGGCAATCAAAGATAGTTTCCAAGACTCGAGTAATAGGCTGCTCAGCATGCCGAATCTCCATCTGCAGGATATCCGCAATGAGTGGGGTCAATTCCTGCCAGAGCTTGGAAACGGTAACAACAACGGTGCTAGTAGTACTTCCAAAGAGGAACAATCACCGCGGGCTGAAAGCCCACCGCCAACTCCGCGGCATAATCCTAACTCATCACATCCAGTCTTGGAAGAAGCAATGGAAGAGCTCACGGGCGATGTTGTGATCCTAGGAGGTTACCGGGGATCAATTTTGCGGTCTGCTAAGCCACCCCATCGTCAACTTTGGGTGCCGATGAAGGTTGGTCTGAATCTGCGCAAAGTGGACTTGGAGGTCGGCCTGAAACCGGAGGACGAGGAACACATGGAGGAGACCATCATTCCATCCGGGGTTCTGTCCCACGTGGGCCCGGTGGACGTCTGTCGACGATTGATGAAGCGGTTACGCAGGAGCGAGAATGCCCAGCGTGGTGAAATGCGCGTCCACGATTATGGATATGACTGGCGTCTAAGCCCCGAGCTGCTCTCGCGCAGGCTCATCGCCTTCCTAGAGAGCCTGCCATGCAATCAGGAGCCTTCGCCGGGGGAGCCCCGACGCGGCGCTATCGTCATCGCGCACAGCCTAGGCGGTCTCATCACCCGACACGCGGTCAACGAGCGACCAGATCTCTTCGCCGGAGTCGTATACGCAGGCGTACCACAGCACTGCGTGAACATCCTCGGACCACTCCGCAATGGCGACGACGTCCTCATCAGCTCCCGCGTGCTAACAGCCCAAGTAAACTTCACCTTCCGCACAAGTTTCGCCCTCCTCCCCGAAGACGGGCACTGTTTCATCGACAAACAAAGCAAAAAGGAATTCCGCATCGACTTCTTCAACGCTCAAACCTGGGAAGATTACCGTCTCTCTCCTTGCATGGCTCCAGCTCTCCCCGTACCCCCAACACCCACCACCCTCGGCTTCAAAGACATCCCCATAATCGGCAAGCGCTTCTCCATGGGTCCTCGCGATGACTCCGACGAATCCATCACCCAAGACCCACACCATGTCACACAAGACGGACACCACTCTACTGCCGCAGTAGATAAAGACGTCTCCGCCCGTAACAACAACTCACCACACAGCGCGGCCGCATACGCCGCATACGCATCTGAAAAAGCCCACGACCCAGCCGACGGCTTAGTCGGACCAGGCGCACACCCGCGCAGCAGCACCACCACAACCTCCAAAATCGCCACGACGTGCACCATCCCGCACGCCGCCGCGAGGGAGTACCTAGAGCGCACGCTGGCAGAGACAAAGCGGTTCAAGGAGAACCTGGCGTTCCGGCCGACACTCCACTCGGAGAACAGGTACCCGCCTGCCGCTGTGCTGTACGGCAAGACGCTGCCGACTGTGTACGGAGCGCGAGTCGTGTCGCGTGAGACTATCAAGCAGGTCGATGCGTACGATGATCTTGCGTTTGCGGCTGGTGATGGTGTTTGTCTTGCTTCGGCTGCTATGTTGCCGCCTGGATATAGGATTATTAAAGATGGTCTGGTGAAGAGTGAACGGGGCCATGTTGGATTACTTGGTGATCTTGAGGGCGTTGGGCAGTGTCTCAAGGCTATTCATCGGGGTAGGAAGGAGGGAGTTGGATTGGGGGAGAAGAACATATAAGGGTTCGATGTGCGTTCGTGTTATTTTCTGGTGTTGGTCTTTTTCTTGATGATCTTTGATGATACCATTGCCATATGTTTGATGATTTGGGTTATGTTTTTTTTTTCTGTTTGTGGATATGGTATATTTAGATGTGACTGTGTCATATTGCATTGAGTCTGGCATATTGGCGTTTCTATAGCAGGGGAGGATGAGACTATTTACATAGAAATAGAAAGATAGAGAAGAAAGTTGGAGCAGAGCTCAATATACGGATATGGATAGATCTTGCACACACGCTATGTAACCCTATGCCATTCTATGCATGTACTTTTTGTCCTCGTCCAATACCAATTGGAATAGAGACCGTCTATCAAGACAACAGAAGAAAAGGAAACAGTATCCCGGAATTCCATCACAGTATATGAAAGCATCACAGTATATGAAAGTAAAAAAAAGATCATGAAGAAGGATGCTATAAAAACCCAACAAAAAGAAAACAAAGTATCATCAAGTCTTTAATCCGTGCGCGAGTTGGCAATGTTCATGACCAAGATATCACTCGCGCCGACCTTAATCAGCTCATCCATTACCGTGGCAATGTGCTTCTTCTCCACCATGGAGCTGACAGCAACCCAGCCCTCCTCCTCGAGCGCGGTGATAGTAGGCGCACGCTTGCCGGGGGTGATCTTGGACGCGATTGCCAGCTGCTCACGCGGGATGTTGTATTGGCACAGGACGAACTTCTGGGCGGTGATGACACCACGCAGACGGGAGCTGAGTATAGTGAGCATTTCGGAGTTGGTCTTGCGGGACTTGACCAGCACAGCGGTGCTGGAGACAACAGTGTCAATTGCCTTCAGGCCAGCGGCCTTCATAGTCTCACCAGACTCTGAACAGATTTGAGTGTTAGCAACGGGTTCCGGTTCCCTGTTCCGTATTCCACAGGACAGTATTTCAGTAGACTGGCATATCACAACATACCAACAAGATCAACAATACCATCCGCAACGCCGAGAGCGCAGGCAGCCTCAACACTACCGCCAACATACTTGATATTCGTGGAGAGTTTCTGGCCAACTTCGGCGCCCTCGAGGTTACGGAAGAAAGATTCAGTGAGGGCAGTGAAGCTGGTCACGACGTTGCGGCCAACGAGATCCTTGGCCTCTTTGATATCGCCCTTCTCAGGCACCTGCACTTGCAGCTTGCAGGCGCCGAAGCCCAGGTCGAGGATCTCCTCGACGTTGGAGGCCTCGCCGGTGGGCAGGGTGGCATCGTGCTCGGCGACCTGGTCGCGGCCGGTGATTCCCAAATCAACGCGGCCTTCGCCGACGAATGTCGGGATATCGGCAGCGGGCAGGAAGATCAGCGCAATGGGCAAATTCTTGACCAGTGCGATATCGAGGCGGGTTTCGCGGCGGAACTGGACGTCACAGCCGGCGAGGAGGTCGAGGGTTGCTTGTTGCAGACGTCCTTCTGTATAGTGGAGTTTGCGCCGTCAGTCTTGGTTTCTTTGTGTTTGTTTCTTGTTCATGTGGGTATCGCTGCTCGCATCTATGAGTCACGATTTGGGAGAGCACTTGCTTTTGGGCACGGCGAAGAGGAGACGGCCTTCGAGGCTGTTTAGAATCGTTATATTAGCAGAAATCCCCATGCGGTTTGTAATTGAAATTGACTCACTGGTTGACGAGATCCATGGTGATAGAGCGGTGCGGCGCGGGGCTTTTTACAGATTTTCGGTGGGGGGAATAAGGTGATCGGGGATCGATTGACGAAGTAGTCAAGTCAATTGCAATTCAGAGACCGTGAATATAACTCAAAGACAAGATAGAACGATTGATATAGTCCGGAGGAGTCGGGGAGAGAGACCGGAGCTTCTTGCGGCAGAAATTGGAGGGGCAGATTACACCGGTGGGTTAGTTACGGGACCGGGGGAGTATGTACCGTGTTCGCTGCGCAGTACGAGCCCACGTGATGGGATTCTGTGGTGTATGGCTATTTGAAGTGTCTATAGGATATACATGGTAGAGTCTAGAATGAGTTTCTAATCGATTGAATAGGATAATTGGCTGTACAGGCCGAAGTTGTCTAAAAGTGGTGCTGAACGATATCGGAGTCCGAAGAAAATATGTTCTGCCTGAATATGCCTGACCCATCAGGTGTCAATTCCATCCGCTGACTCATCCACTGCCTGACGGCTCAGGTGTCCAGCCCTGAGCCCTCGCGTAATTTGCACGAACCCACACAGGCCAAATTCCACTTTACACTCTCTTACCTACAGTCCAACCAATTCCAACCCTCGAGCTCAACGCCCTCTCCTTCCCTCCAAGATGGATTCCAGCAAGCAGCCCGTTAAGCTCGTCAAGGTGACCCGTGTCCTCGGCCGCACCGGTATGTGCTTTCCCAGCATTTTTGAAGCTCCAAACCCATAATTCGATATTCGATATTCGCGGGGTGCAACCATTGCGCCCCGGATCGCCCGAAACAAACCGATGAAAACCAGACACTTGGAGGAATAGCAATCGCTAATTTTGGTCTATTTAGGATCCCGTGGTGGTGTCACCCAGGTCCGCGTCGAGTTCATGGACGACACCTCGCGTTCCATCATCCGTAACGTCAAGGGCCCAGGTACGCGATATTGATTTCTTTGCATCTGTCTTTTGGGATCACAAGAGGAGGGAGAAAGAAACATGGGGTCTATCGATTCATTCTGTGGAAAGAGCCCCATGTTGAAATATGGAATTTTGAAGATCGACCCAAAAGACAAGAAAAACTTTGCCGAACCGCATCGCTAACATATTCCTCCGCACCAGTCCGCGTTGACGACATCCTCTGCTTGCTCGAGTCCGAGCGCGAGGCCCGCCGTCTCCGTTAAAATTCACCAAAACGAAATTTCGCTTGCTTCGTCTATTTTGTCTCTCTTCTTCTCTCGCATATCCCTTACGACCGGTTTTTCATGATTACTCTTCGGCCAAAATCGAGTCCCCCGCTTTTCTTTCTTGCCGTACCTTCAACCTCCTATCCTCAGCCCTAAACCGCCGCGCTGCCCAATCATCCCCACCTGCCGACTCTCAAGGGGCCGTTTCTACGATTTCCGACGTTTCGACTGGAGGTGACAGTTTGGGTGGATTGACTTTTGGTTTTTTTATTTTAAACGAAAGTCCCGGAAGGTCGATTATGGAGAAACGATCGTGAGAGAGAGGAGCAGAGAGCGCAAAAAAGATAATAGAAAGCCTTTTTTTTTATTGATACGAGAAAACGAAATCAGGTTCTTGCGCGAGGGCTGGTTTGTGGACTTGTGGCACGGTCTGGTCTGGTTTCGATCTTGGTGTTTTACTACATACACACGTCCATTTAGGCGTGATTGCATGGGCTCAATGCGACAAACGAGGTTGTTATGTTGTTTCCTCTCTTCTCTTCCTCGTACCAGCTTCCCCCATTACTGGTACTTAGAAAAGAAAACGCCGACTCGAACCAAGCCCCGATCGACAAAAAGAACAATGGAATCCAAAAAAAGTTTGAAAATTTCCGGTTCAGCCTTGTCGAGGTCGAGGTCTGAAAGCGTTAGTAGAATCTGCCAGTGTAGTCTTGTGAGTTTCTAGTCTACCAAGTACATTGGTGTAGACGGTAGCTGTGCTATGTCAAACCTTCGTCCCTTCTAAATTGGAAGGTCTGTATCTGATGCGTTTTGTCGCCTTTTTGTCTTTCAAGATATAAAACCGAGAAGTGGGAAGGACATAAAGACACAAGGCCGCATAAGCCAATAATGTGATATTTGGCTTTTGCTATAAAGCTTCAACAAATGCCATACTTATTCTACTATATTCTACTAATGTATATTACTCCATCACAGACAATCGCAAGATTCGTTCTCCGACATACATGGTCCTAGTGAGCTACAGCTGCTCCGCACTGGCCATGAGCCTACTAAGAAGGCCGTCATCAGCAGACTCTCCGTCGAGACCACTCTCATCAAGGACCCGACCAACCGCCCCCAGAAGCCCAGCCAACCGCTTCCGCCGGATAGATTCCTCTAGCTCAGCACTCTTCTGACGGGCGACGTCAATAACATCGGAGGGCAAGTTCGCCAGACGCGCAACATTCAACCCGTAACTGCGGTGCGCAACTCCCTCAGTAACCTCGTAGAGGAACGTAATCTCCCCATCGCCGTCCTTGTCCTTGCTACCCGTCTCCGTGAACCGCATATGGACATTACGGAGAGCATGATCCGGGAAGGAATGCACCATGCGCGAGAGATGCTGGTAATGCGTGATGAAAAGGGTGAGTGATTGGATCGAGCGCACCATATAGTCAAGCACCGCCTGCGCGATAGCGACACCGTCGTGCGTCGATGTGCCGCGGCCCAGCTCGTCGAGGATAACCAAGGATCGAGGCGTTGCTTGCTTGAGGATATCTGCTGTTTCGGAGAGTTCGACCATGAAGGTTGATTCGCCAGCCAGCATGTTGTCGAAGGCGCCCATGCGCGTAAAGACCGCATCCAGGAGACCGAGTCGGGCGGAAGCGGCTGGGACGTAGGATCCGATCTGGCCCATGATTGCGACCAGTGCTACCTGTCGCACGTAGCTGGATTTACCGCCCATGTTCGGGCCGGTGACGAGGAGGGCGCGCGTGCCGTCGTGCGATAGATTTGTGTCATTGGGTACGTATGTGTCTGTGAGGAGTTGCTCGACCATTGGGTGTCGGCCCTGCTCGATGTGGAGGCCTGCTTCTTCTGTGTATTCTGGCTTGACATAGCCCGGTTGCTGGGCTATGTCTGCAAGTGATAATAAGCAGTCGAGTGTCGCGAGGGATTGTATAGAATCCCGGAAGGACTGATACTGTGCTGCGATATCAGCCAGGAGGGTTTTGTATGCCTGGTCGCAGGCTGCTGCTAGGGCCTCCTTGTACTGATCACGCTCGCGGATGAGCTGGATGACTTCTGGCGTGTGGAAGCGAGACACTCTTTTTGTGCCGCTGACTTTGACCCACGATGCGGGCACGCGCTTGAGTGCCGGGGAGTT